TTGAACATCAAACTCTCTCTCCTTCGGGTAGAGCGTTACCAAAGCCGCGCAAACAACTGCAGACATTGAACTACGTCATTGCAAAGCCAAAGTAAACCTGACCCAGATGACCAGTCGTCCTGTCGTATCACCTTGTGATAAGAAAAAAGGCCGCAGAACTAATTTAGCAAAATGCGCTCAAGGAAGCTCAACTAAGAGTCTTATTCCATTTTTTGTGGGGTTTTTTTTTTTTTGGTTTTTGTTTTTTTTCCCCCCAGACGTCTTTGCATTGAGCCTGAAGGGAAACCTCAATCAGTCTCCATCTCCGGGATCAATATCCATTAGCAACGTGTGTGTGTGTGTGTGTGTGTGTGTGTGTGTGTGTGTGTGTGTGTGTGTGTGTGTGTGTGTGTGTGTGTGTGTGCGCGCAAACCTCTTCCTGGGTGAATGGGCCTGAGTCATAAATGTAGGCTCTGAATCAAATTTCCATCCCTGGGCCGCTAGCTTGCTAAACACACAAACACACACCGCCGCTCATTCAAACATACCGGAAACGGCCAAGGTGCTGCCTCGAAATGTTCATTCATGAAGTCTGGATGATACGGACTTTGTGCCAGCCGCACAAGAAAAGCCCGCATGACCGACTTGCAATAAACGTTTGGAATCAATATTGAAGTCATGTGCAAAGCGACGTTCCTGGCATGAAACGAGTTGATGATTGACAAGAGGCCACAACAAACCTCCCCCGTCTCTGTGCAGCGAAGCCAAGATATTAATTCCAGTCTGGAAGGGGAAAAAAGAGAAGAGGAGGGAAGGCTTTTTTTTTCTTTAATTGTCACCGCGCATCAGCGCAAACCGTCCTGACACGATGCAACAAGAATGACAGAGGAAGGAAACGCGCAACAACAGACAACGTCGGATTGACAAAAAGCAACGCCGAGGGAAAAGGATGATGAGGTTGAAGATGAGGATGTAGGGAAGGGGAGGGAGGGTGCGTATAGCCTGTGGGCAGACACGCAAAATTGTGCAAGTCTGAACAAGAGACCCAGGATGGAGGAAGAAGCTGCGAGTGCAAAACGAGAGCTTGTATGTCACACTCTGGCCTTCCGTTAGCTCTGTACTACGTGTACAAAGCAAAAGGTACAAGATCTCGAGTCAGGTTGTAGCGGTTCCGCAACTGGCATTATCTAGCTCCATCTGGGATCACTGCACTGGGTTTTGGAACATTTTAATTCACATTTATTTCAAGCAACAAGTGTCACCATGCGCCTGGTACATTTAGTTCACTGTTCAATCCCATTTAGAGCAGCCTCGAGTAAGCAAAACTGAGTTTGCATTATTAAAACAAAACAAAATGTGAGGGGCGGGGATTACTGTGAACCATTTGGGGTCACCATCCTCACATTCCACTCGACAACATCCAGGAGTCTGTGTGTGTGAGGCTTTCAAATGTGAGGCCCTGGCCTGGTGAGTGACATGGGAGGCAGCGAATGAGAGTGTCAAATTTGCTGGCGTGAGCACACATTAGCGACAATATTATATACAAACGGTACAATACATTCTAACAAGTGGCGGAGGGCCATTTTAAATTCTATTGGCAATCGTAGTCATGCTGTTGTTAAACGTTAAGACTTGCTCTGCAGTGGGGTCACTGCACTTAATCTTCTCGTTTTAAATGTGAAATGACCCTCCCTTTTTTTTTTTTTTTTTGGAACACTCTTTTCCTCCCAGCTCGTCTCACACAGAGTGGTGCGTGAGTCAGCGGTAACCTTATTTCGTGTGGAAAATTAGCACTGCAAAACTTTGATCGTTTCAGCCCGTGACACGAGCTCAACTGCGAATTAGTAAATCAATACATCAAGAATAGGCAGGAGTCAAACAATCAGGAAGCTGTTCATCTTTTAAGTGTAATGTAAGAGGAGTTTGAAATTATATTTGTTTTAGGATCATATTTCTGGATATAGTTAAAATCTTAATAGTGGCAATTTTAGACTATTGTGAGAGGGGAGGAGAGAGTACGAGTACGACATTTATTTTTTGGTTTCTAACACTAAAAAGCAGGGCTATCTCTGTATTTATCAGACCTAAATCTCAGCCACTGCAAAATGCTCGTGGATATGTGAGAATGCCACGAAGAGACTCTGACAACATAGAAATCGATTTGAAATGCATTTAAGCAGCGAAGCTCAAGCATGATGACAAAAGCAGGCATGACATCAGGCGCTGGAAGCAGTTCAATGCCTGCAAAGAGCGAACTGTGCTGGGGGGTGACTTGGCATGGTTGCACAAGTGGAGCCAAGCCCACGGGCTTATCCAGATCCACCATATAATTCAATCACGTCTGAACACTTAAAATGTATACTGAGCATAGGTGGGGCAGTGGAATAACCTGAGAAGCTACCAAAATAAACCACTCGTGCCTCTGTTGGCACTGAAAAGTGTTGTAAAACCCGTTCTCAGACCCTACCAATGCCATTTAACTTCTTGGAATTTACAGTTTATGGCCCATTGTTGTTTGTTGTCTTTTCCATCCTTCAGGCCCGTCACTCTTAGTGTTAGAGTTGAGTTGCAAAGGGCCATCTTAGCATCGGTGTCGCTGTGACACAATTAAAGCACCGATTTCCTGTGGTCGCAACCTTCTAAGTTACAGACCGCGATAGAGTTTCGAAAGCCTGTTTTTAGCCTGAGTGTGCATTATGTGCCACACTTAGCTTAGCCTAACACACCCAGAATGCTGGACGTGCCATGTATTGTTTACATAGCTCGCACTGTCGTTCAGTTTTGACAACACTAAGAGCAGAAAATGATCTACTGGGGTGGGGGGCGTTGAATTCAAACTGTTCACATTGTATCTACGTTTTTTTCCTTCATAAGGAAGAAGTCGGTCAAAGGAAACGCCGGCTTTGTCAACTCAGTGGTGAGCTAGCGATGCTACATTAGCATTTGGTAGCCAAACAGGCTTTGGGTGGCTTTTTAGGAGGCTAACTCCAAGCTAAAACGCTCACCATAGAGGTGCATACTGGGTCAGCCCTCCCCATAGCCTCTCTACCGCTTTTCGACTCGCAGTTCACAAGGTTGAAGCACAAATCAAGTGTCAAGCGCGCGCGCGCGCACACAAGCTCAACGGGCGACTTAATATTAATGGCAGATGCTCGATTTGCTCCCCATTTGTGGTGCTTGGAAGGTGCATTGCACGCGGTTGCTGTACGGCTTCCAAGTTTACTTGGGTAAAAAACTCACATTGCTCACAATCTATTACACGTGTAATGGATGTCAATTAGGCCAGAGTAAAGCCAAAAGTGTCGGAGAGTGTTTCCTTTTAGTAGCTTGTCGATAAACGGTGCCACATGTTGGAAAAAGATGGGGGTCGAAACATTAGCACCCAAGCTAATGCTTAGCTTACACAGTCTAACATATTGTAGTCAATTACACAGAAAAATACATCAACATTTCTACGGGTTGAACACTGACAGTCGATTTATGACTTTAATACAATTTATAGTCAAGTTCGGTGGTCCCCCTCGATCCCAATCGTTCACTGTCTAGCACCCCGAAACCAGTCACCATAGTCGGGGATAAATGTCCATCACCATCACCGGTGGATCTCGTCAGCGTTGAGCTTACCTGTCCTGAACGTTATGTCCCCGGGGTCCTTAGTCGTCTCCTCCGCTCCCTCCCCGGAGCTCATGGTTGCCACAACCGCGACCCCCGGAGCTCAATAGCTCCCGATTAGATCCTTCAAAATGGGTAAAAAGATGTGAGAAAAATCTCCACTGCTGCCAACCAAGGCGTCATTAAAGACAGGCGGGCGGTACGGTTGAATTCTAAGAACTAATCTTGCCATCTGCGAGTCTCCATCTTGGGGGTAGTTGTAAAAAAAAAAAAGAAAAGAAACGACGAACCGGGTGCACCCGGTTCCTCCTCGTAGTGAAGCCGAAGGGAGAGTCACTCGCACGGAGGAAAGCGGGCGGGAGGGGCCGCTGGCTGGTGGCTCATCCACGTTCAACGACGGGACAGCGTGTCAAAGGTACAGCGAGGACTACATTAAAATTACAGAAATAATGAAAGATGAGAAATGTATAGTCGATTCATATGGGACACTTTAAAAACGTCATTCGTGAAAAACTATGAAGGAAGGAGAAAAGGTCAACTGTTTTGATTTACATTTTGTCTGTGGTTGATTCTTGCTCGCTTCTCTTTGGTCAACTGCGGTCTGCTGCTGCCTCTCTCAGTAATTCTCCGGAACTGCAAAAAGCAAACAAATACAAGCGCCCCATTTTTAACGTACGCGATGGAGAAAAAAATGGGGACTCACAGTTGGGACACACGGAACAATTTATTTTACACTTACATACATTTCAATCAGAGAATGTTAAAAAAATGGCTGTGCGTTGTTCCTTCACTTTTATTGTACAGTATCTCCCGGTTTTCGACGCTCATTCACACCTACAGTTAAATTTATGGCCGAGAAGTGTTTTTCATAACAAGAGTGACTATAATTATGACTTTAATACATTATACGCATTAGTGAAGGGATGAGCGATAGCCTTCGCTGTATTCCGATTTACGTACATTTTCGGTCGGAGTTAAGTAGGATGTAAATAGAGTCCGTCGTAAATAGAGGACCGCCTGTTTTGGAATCGAATCAGCCTGCAATATCACTGAAATCCCAGTAGAGGGCGCGCTGTGAATTAGCCTGCACTTCACTGAAATCCGACTAGAGGGCAGGCTGAGGTTGTTCATGAAACGCCACGAGAAGACCTCACTGCAGCCCTCCAGTCTCTATAGGTCACATAAATTAGAAAAAGTGATCCTCGTTTCATTTTTATTATATCAAAAAAAAGACCTTTTGGACAGGGGTGTGGGTTTGGAGATTTTTTTTTTTTTTTTTTTTACATCCACTGTAAAAAAATAAAAAAAAGATCAATTGAGATTACACATTCGGATCATTTTAAGTGTGAAATAAAAATATATGCAAGCACACGTTCAAGCAAGTATGAAAACACAATTATGAGACAGGGTACATTATATACAAATATTTAATGAATAACAAAAGTGTGGCAGCATAGGGACATTTAAACACACAGTGCAGCGGGTTTTCTTCCAGAGGATATTTATAAAAAGCAACATCTACTTTTCTTCTCAAGCCAACGACTTCAAACACTAATTCCAAATCTAAAACTACCAACAATAATTCACATTCAAACTACCTGTCATTGTAGGAATTTGTTGGCAGCGTGACAATAAACTAGCCTAACATCCAGTTGAAATAAATGAGCAAAATGGCTCACAGAGCAGATTTGGCTTAAGTATACATTGCATGGACAAAAGTATTACACGTACAGAAGTCAGAAGGGAAGAAAATAGGGCGCTGGTCCTCCCTGTTAAACTATGTAATACATTTTACTCTTCTGGTAAGGATTTCCGCAAGAGTTGAAATTGTGAGAAGGGTCCTCACCATAATTATACATCATGCCTTGATAGTCCAAAATGCAATGGTAAAGATTAAGAGTTAAGATAAAGGGGGGTTGCAGTTGTTGTATTATTATGACATATTTTTTTTAAGAAACCACCGCATCAGAGGAACCACAACCAGAGACACATATTTAAAAAAATGTCTCTCCCTCATTTGTTAACACCACCAAGACTATCAACCAGTGAGGCATTCAGAAAGTGATCAGAATTAGCAACAATATTGGCCAACATGCTTATCACTTTTTTTAATTCTGTGAAACCAATAACATTTAGTGCTAGAGAAACAGTTATGAATAAGTCATGCTCACAGCCTAGTTTTCATGGCTAACGTTGGTCTGCTAATGCTACCTTACTTAGCATTCCAGAAACTGGACAACATTCTCTGTGACCAATTATTACAACTGTGCACTCATAATCACACGCTACCCTGTTATGAGCATCACATGTGTGCATGTCAAGTGAGGGGCGCATGCAAGCTTTGTTCAGAGGCTTGGGGGTCGGGGGAGGGTGGGGGATTTTTTTTTTTTTTTGCGCCATGGCAGCATGAAGAGCAAAACAACAGAAATAAAAGACTATGCGGATAAAATGGCCGCTGCGATCCAAAATGTGAACGGCTTCACTGTACCGAGTCAAAGTTAATTCAAGCGTCTCACACTTGTTTGCCGAGCAAGTGGCAAGTCCTAACATGGGCGAATTTACAATGAGTCTGACTGGAGGCTCGGTCCATTCTGAACTTGTCAAGAATTAATTGGTGTGTCTTCTTTTGTCCATAGAGTGTATACTATTTATAGAGCCGCTTTTGCTCAAGCATAAGGCGGCTCTGAAGCACACTGCTCGCCACACTGGCATGGCTAATTACCTCCACGCTACTTGTGGATAAATGGTTGACTGCGCTCCTTGAGAGGCTGCAGCAATACAGAAAAAAAATCTCTCAGGCCCACCGCAGCCCTCGGAGAGCCGCCTTCGACACTCAACAGGAAGCGACGCCTGGCGACTTCCGACAGTGCCGCCGTCTTCACAGTTGTTTGTCCGGTGTGACGCTGGGGCCTCCGCGAGTAACTTGTATACCCCGAGCATGACCAATTGCCGCTAATGCCACTTTCTATGTTGTGTTGTTTTTGATTTTTGATGTATTTATCCCCCCCCCACCCCTCCAACTGAGCACTCAAGGCATGATGGTGCTTTGTGACAGGGATCGGGTCATCTCGGTGTGGACAAAGTAGGTCTTCAACTCCCCTTTGCCCTTCACGTTGATGATGCCTCGACATGAGCACATGTAGCCCAGCGTGGATAAGATTTCGCTCGTCTCCTCCGTCACCTGCAGGAACAGCCAAGAAGACATTTTTAAAACAACAACAACATGCGACACGTTTTTTTTTTCAAATTCCGCACCTGGATTTTGCCCAGAACGCCCGTGGTCTCCATCCTACTGGCCACATTCACGCTGTTTCCCCAGATGTCATACTGAGGCTTCTGTGCCCCGATGACCCCCGCAATGACCGGTCCATGATTTATCCCTTGGCACACGCAAAACACACAAATCAACAAGTTATACTCCGGAAAGTACTGACGCTCACACGGTCTGCTCTTACCGATTCGCAGCCGGAAGTCATTGAAAGAATGTTTGTTAATGACGTCGAGTTTCCCGACCAGAGCGAAGGCAAACTCCACCATGGTGCCGATGTGCATGTACTGTCTGTCATGTTCCTGTCGGAACGAAGCATAGCCTTCAAACAATTCAAACTGTAATCGTGAACATAAATGGATCGCATGAAAAACGTGTTTGCGTTTCCTGTTGAAATTGTGTTTTCAGTTATGGAGAACAAACAATGACACATAACACTGGTCAAATTTTAATAAGAGATGGCTTAATGTGACCCGGGTTGTGTTTTCTGGACACTGATTTCAGAAATGTTTTTACTTTTTGTCTAGCACGTCAGTTTAAAAAAAAAAAAAAAGATATTTTGCGGGTTTTTAAATGTGACTTATAAAAGCTTGCCACTATGCTGGGAACTTCTATTCACTCATGACATATAACGTTGGCTACATCTTACCTTTATCTATTTGCCACTGGAAAAGCTACAAAATAATTAGCACATTAAATTGCTCTACAACGGAAAATAATGACCCACTATTTCTGAAAAATTAATCTTTTTTTTTCTGTGTGTGTGTGTGTGTGTGAGTGCAAAATGGAGTGTCAAAGCGTGCCTGTGCGCACTCTGGTCCTGGCGTCAAGTTGAGTCCGGTGGCCGCCATGTAGGTACTCCCGATGGTCTTAATCTTCTCCACTCCACTGAACTTTGGCTTTGAAAGCAGCTGAGGACACGGTGGGGGCAAGAGTGGGGTTAAAGCGTGTCACATAATGTGAACACAAACAGGAAGTCACATGACACCGCCGCGTTTCGCTTGGCACTCGCACCACCCTCCGTGTTTTACACTCACACTCGACAAGCCATTGTTTGCTCTGACGAGCGGAAAATCAGGTCCGCTGTACCTCATCAAAATCCGCGATGATCTCATTGAGGAGACGGAGGCATTCGAGTCCTTCCTTGTTGACATCCGACTCGGTGTAAAACTCCTTGAAGTCCGGGATGGAGGCGAACATCACGCACACGGAGTCGTACGACTGATGATAAAGGTCCTGAAGACAAGCAAACGTCTTCAAACATACATCAACCTGAAAAACACCTTTGGAACACATTGCAGTATGACTTGAACAGACCCCCCCCCCCCCCCCAAAAAAAAAGGCATAGGAAATGCTGCATGATGTGCCTTTAAGAGGCGGGGTGGCATCACAATGCCACGAAATGCCATCAAAGTGACATGTTGAAAATATCCACGGCTTAGTGAATTTGTCAAACTGTGAATACGTGCACGCTTCGAATCCGGGTCACGGCTCCAACTGAAAAGTTCTGGAAAACTCCTCCCCGTCCTTTTTTCTTGAATGTTATCCAAACAGGGACAAGCAAAAGACGGGATAGTCTCAGTCGAGCTACGGCTATTAGGGCGAGCAACGTATTTTGCAAGGCGAGGTTACAGTATTGTCGTCGTCAAGACAACGGCGCCACGAGCTGACCTCATTCTTCCAGTTGCGTCCCAGGAAGTGTTCAGCCACGTGGGCGGGCAGGACGTTCTCCAACAGGACTCGGTTGAGATTCTCCATGGTTTCGATCTCCTCGCACTCCCGCTTGAACTTGTCCCTCCACAGGAAGTCCAACCTACAGTAATATTCATTCTGTTACAGGACGACACAGAGTAAAGAGACACGGCCGTCATTCCCAGACAGCGCTTGGGTCATGGATCACAAAGTAGGCCTCCCGCATCAGAAGATTCGCGTATTCGATCTTATGTGCTTATTTTCTTGATGATTAATTCCTTTTCATGGTTTGCCTGTGGAAGTCAACGAGTGGAGCGCATGTTTGTCTCATCGAGCCGAGGTTCTTGGTTCTTACACAGGTACTCCGGCTTCTTTTCACTTTTGAAAAACATCTTTTTGGATTCTGCTTGTCTCCAATAGATATATAATAACGAAAGTTTTTGTGATCCAGAAAAGGACGCAAAGCTAGTTCATTCCAAAACTTTTGCCACCATACTACTGTGTACTGCAAGCTGTATAACTCATTGAAAAAAAATACTGTACAATAAATAAAGAAAGAAACCACCGAGATAATGTGCTTGCACAGCCGAGCACATGTTCAAAATGAATGAATCACACCTGCCGTCCGATCAACCACAATGTTCAGACACTCTAGTCGGCTAGTCGCCAATATTTCCTCATCCTCCACGCTTGAGGCACTTTTGTCTGCATTTTGTTGTCAACAGCAGGCGTGACCTATGCAGGTGAAAACCTCCCTGGAGTGTGTGTTTGTGTTGGAGACAGGGGTCTCCGGCTCCCACCGCCGTTGCGCTCACATATCCGGGAGCTCCGGGCTACCTGTGGGCCGGCCCCCCGCAGAGTGTTTGAGTTATTAGCGGCCCACATGATATATGTGAGCAGTGCAGCTTTTTTTTTTTTTTTTTTCGCCCCGTGTGATTCGAGTATGCCGCCAACTTAGCCGACACGGAGAGCTGAAGCGCTGAGATCTATCTATATCAACATACAGCATGTGTCCGGTCCAAGGGGAGAAAAAAAGTGGGCCGGAAGGAAAGGGAGGAGGGGGAACCGGCTCATTTTAGATGCAGTTTGGAAAGCGGCTAACATGATTGTAAACAAGCTTCACTCTAAATGGATTGAAAAAGGCTCATTTGAGCTGACGCTGGAATTTTGCAATGCAAATGATCTAAAGTTGGCAATTAAAATGGATGCGCCGCGGCCACAATATGCAGGATTAGTTTACGCATGACTCGGCGGCGCCATATTGATTTTTTTTTTTTTGCACAACATTGACAATTACGTGGGCGATGTTCAAGTGCCAGACACCAGACAGGAGTTGATTTGGTATTCAGGTTTGTGCTCATCTGCTTAATGCTGAATAAGCCAAAGAAAAGGAAGCATAGAAAATGCAAGAGTACATTGCTGGCATCGGGCAGAATCCTTGTTCAGACGCGCATATTGCAGCGGGCCATTTTCAAGCCCTTGAGATGCCTCAAATCATTTGAAAAATAGCACACACGCATGTGGACTGGCACAAAGTATACATGGAGAACATTTAAGACAAATAATACGTCCCGAAAAAAAAAATATCCAATAAAACCAATATCCCCCGCCCCCCAATTGACTCTTCCACTACCACGATGTGGAATTGTTTTGAGGATGGGGTCGATGGTTCAACCTCAAACTGCATGCAGGTAGGACAAACCTAATAATAGGATAGTCACACGACGCATTTTGTTTCCGAGACAGAATGTCCTCCTCCCATCTGTTGACAGCGACACAGAATGAGGACACGCTGCGCTGTCTGGACCAACTGTGGCTCGCTGGGGAGAGCGTGTGCCTTCTTGGTACTCTTGATACTCTGGAGGGTGCCCTCCCATCGAGAACATCTGCTCTGGGGTCAACGCGGACGGATGGCATTGCCAAAAGAAAGCTAAAAACGGGCCGATGAAAAGTGTGTCGGCTGAGCTTTTTTTGTCTCCCTCACTTTTGGCGACGTGGAGGGAGCCAGAAGAAAGCGGGTCACGCAGGCGGCTTCCAAGCTACACCGGCGTTTCATAGAATTGCTTTAAATTGTAGTTCAAGGGAAGTAAATATTGCATTTTTTTTTGTGGGGGGTGTAAAACGTAAGCCTTGACTCAAGACGGGGTGGCAACACTGCGCTGAATCTGCATCCTATCAAATCATGTTGACTTCCCCCAGATGGCTTGCTTCGGACTAAGTCAAATATGAGAGGCAGGACCCTAAACCGCATCAAACACGGACGGCATTTTAAGAACAGCCACTGACCTGGCGAGCCAAGACCAGCAGAGTGATGAAGAAGATGAAGAGCGACACAGAGCCCATTGTCTTGAGGTCCTTCAGAATTCCTGGTCTAGTCGGGAAGAAGCGCAATCAAAGCAAAGTATCCATATTTAAGTCCAAACCGATCTTCGAGCGCAATAGAAAATTATCTACAGCAACCCAAAATGCCAGATTTGTTGTGATCTATTCAAAAGAAGAGACGCGTACAACTCGATAAAAATCTTTTAAAAATAGAGAATTTGTTTTAGTCGGAGGCAAGGTTCCCGTGAAAAATGCCCAAATGGGTGAATCCAGCCAATGGCAAAGACGACGGAGGAAATTGTATCGGCAAAAGTGGCAAGCGAATCCCTGCTTTTTAATTCGGACTTTTCCCCATATGAACAGCCTCGGCGCAAACTCCCATTAAACAAGAAGCGAAGGTGAGGTGAGGGAGGAAGAGCTTCCATTATCTGTCTCAGCCGCGGCAATTCCAGCTGCCAATCAAAAGTGCCCGCGGAGAGTACGCTCAGGTACCGGTCCAGCGCCTGGGTGCTGTACAGAGCTTTGCTGAAGCCGTCGAGCAGCGAGGCGTGCGTCTGGAGGATGATGACGTTGTAGATCACCAAGGCGACCAGCATCACCACCATCTTCAGCTCGTAGTTGATCCTCAGGAAAACCGAGCACGACACCAAGCCCAGAATGCAGCAGTAGATGAAGTACTGTGGGGGGGATACGCACGTTCACTCCCTTCTTTCATCTTGATTGACAGTCCAAACGGAAACTCTCACAATGGACCGTTCGCTCAACCCTCGGCGGTACTCACGAAAGGCACTTTCTTCCATTGGCATTCAAATGCGGGAAGGCTACTTCATGGAACGTTCAAGAACGCAGTAAATAATGGTGACGTGCTGGCCGGGATAGGCCTCTCGTGTGCACAATCAGAATTCATCAGTCACAGAAAGGGGAAGCTTTCGATCTCACAGGAAGTCAGTCCCCTTGCGTGTGAAACATGTCGGCTTCTCGAGCGATTCACTTCAACTTCTCCGCGGTAACTGAGTCTTTTTTTTTTTTTTTCTTTCTTGAGGGAACTCTGGGTCGTCTTTCCTGGAATACTTACCGGCAGATAAAAACGGCTTTCCCCCGCTGATTGAGCCTGGTCGTCCGGCATGGGCACGGTGCCGTTTGTTAGATTCGCAGGGGGACCGGTTGCGATCGCGTCAGGGGAACCCACTGCGGAGACTTCCTGCATGGATTTCCCAGGATCCTCCACAAAGAACTGTCAGCAATTCCAGAAGTCGTGAATTCGGGCTCATATTATGACTGACTGTATACGCTAAAAACAGTCTTAACAAAATAATAAGAATCATTTTAATAAGGCACATTTTGAAGCCCCAATTACAAAAAAATAAATAAAACGTCTCTTCGCACCATAGCATTCCGATGTCAGTCAACGTACGACAGTTTATTCATTGAACACAAGTCACAACATCTCATTTGATTTCATGAAAGTGCTGATCAAGCGTGTCACGGGAACAAGACAAAGTGAAGCGCGCATGTCAGGCCTCATGTCAATCTACAACCGAAAGTGTTGGTGGCGATGCACGCTTGTCGCGGCCGTCACACGTTGTCAACCCGCGCGCGGATTCGTAGCGGTAATTAAGCGTGAAACGTGACAATGAACGTCGGGATCCTGTCGCCGCCTCGCAAACGCACTCGGTTGCCGCGCGTGCGACGTTCTCACCATGTTGAAGACGGCCATCACGAGGATCAGGGCGGTGGTCGTCATGGTGAGGACCAGTCGCAACCAAGGATTGTTGGTGACGATGATGCGGGAGGACGCGTTCCACCAGGGGAAAGAGCACACCGGCCCCTTCCGTCCTTGCTTGGACATGCAAAAAAACAAACAAATGACATCGAGGGACTGTATTAAAAAGATCAAAGAATTGTCTACTTTTATTTGTCTTGCTGAATGAAAGGAGCTTTCAAACCCCGAACCTCAGAAACGTGCTCAGCACTCACACGCTGTGCTCGCCCCTGCTATGTCTGGTGAAATTCAAATCATTTACAATCATAATTGTAATTCGGTCGCAGGCAATGTTGAGGTTTAGAAAATCTTTAGTCGGTTGTGTAATTTCACAGGCGGGTGAGCAGGCACTCCCGGAAGTAATCCGGGCGCACAATACCTCATTAGTTAACACGGCTGACATTTCTCCAGATTGAAAGAAATTGCCTTTTAAATGGTGTTCTGTTCTCTGTCAACCAAGAAGAAAAAAACCAAAACAAGAAAGCAAATACCTTGTCGTTTCTTTTCGTCCCCTCCATTTGTGCGCCTACCGTGAGGACCTTTTATCAAGTCCCTCTTGAACAATAGACAAGAGATTTTCAATTTCTATGACAACCTCATCGAGTATTCCCGGCCACCCTTTTTAAGCTTTTATTGAGAAACGCGCGCCGAATTAATGACCTTTGCAAAAACAATCCCTTTCTAAGTGACAAGCGGGTCGGACGTCAAGGTTATTGATAAGCATCGGTGCGGTCGAGGCGACCCAAATTACACTCTCCAGAAAAAAAGAACTTGGGAGACCGATGAGGTCTTAAGGTGGCGGGATGTTGTGTGAAGATGAATCCCAAAACAGCTTGCAAATAAAAACCATGTTACAATGTACTCATTATAAGCCCTCAAGAGGAAATTCAATTTACACCCTGGTGCGCACTTGAAAGATTTTCTCATTGTCATTACTGGGGTGCTGTGAGTCGATTTTAAACCCCAATAAGGCTCTTACAAGCAAACAAACAAACAAACAAAGAAAAACTGAGGTGAACATCGCGGATGTTCGTGGAGAAATACGTTCATACCCACCAGAACGTGACCAGCAAAGCAAAGAACCAGGATCAGTGCCAAAAGCAAGAAGGCCAGGCCGAAGGATATCCCCAGCACAGCAGTTCTAGGACACAGACACCGAAGGAAAAGCCGTGGCAGCATTTATTATCCCTGATATCCAACTTCAGGTCTATGTCCTCGTATGCCCCCTTCGTATGCATCACTTGTAAGACAAATCAGAACAACGGTAGGGTGACTTGTGACCAGGTCTGACTTACTGTATATGCCACTTCTGGCTTGCTGGTACGCAATTAAAACTTAGTGTGCTGCACTTGGAACACGACTCGGCTCATCGGGTTGACATTTGCGAGACGTTAACAGCCTCCCGGATCTGACTGCTAGCCCCAAAATGTAAGACAAGCTAGTCGGACGACGACATGTTACCAAGCGAGGCAAGGACACGCACTAGTTGACAACTGGTTGTGACTAGTACTGGTGACATTTTCAGTTTTCCGTGTCATCTTGCACACACGGCAAGCGAGGAACGTCATGAAGATTTCGAATGTATCCTGCCCAGCAATCCATTGATCAGAAGTCAGCATTTATCAGAGTGTAGTGAGGATCTATGTGGGCTTTTTTTTTTTGCGGTCATGTCGTTACGCATCGGCGAGTCTAATTTAAGGACGGGCGTCATAAAGCGGATGATGTCACGGCGCGGCCCTGCCACAAATAGACCAAAGGGGAAGAAAGAGACAGCCAAAGAGGGCCAAATTAGAAAATCAATAACCGTTCAGATGCTGAATAACCCTTTTGGCCCGCCCAGGCAGTAAATTAGCATGACTCGTCCTCCTGGCCGCCGCACTTTGATTTACCTGATCTATAATCGCCGACAGCACAGCGTCGTTCCATCCCCCATCTGTATTCGAACATCCTGCCTGCCGCTCCCCAGCCCCCCCCCCCGGACCTCTTTCATGAGTCCGCTGCCATCCAATAGCTTTTTCAACATCAATCTGCCGCCGCAGCCGGAGCTCAGGCGGCACGGCGCGTCGACGTCTCCGGCCCGCCGACCGGTGGAGCCAACTTACTTGGGCAAGACGAGGACTTGCACGACGAATATGCAGGAGAAAATGAGGCAGGCGCACATGATGTAGTACTTGAACGCGGGTAAGGTTGTGGATCTGTACTGTTGACAGAGGAGAGGATGCTGTCAATTCAGGACAAAAGGATGATTAAGAATAAAATAATGTACAGCTGCTCAGATAACTTGTACACGATATATATATATATATATATATATATATATACACACACGCTGTGTATATTTAGTAGGGGTGTCGCACATTTGTTTGCATCATTTGTATTTCCTCCATTGAAATGAAATGAAATATGAATCATCTCCTCCAGGCCTGACCTGTTTTTGATTTGACAAAAAGAAATGCATTGCATTTTGTAATTGGTCGTCACATAAACAGATCAATTATGGGAAGGACACAAAAACACGCACCAAAAAAGAAAAATCTAATTTAGCAGTTTTTTTTTCTTTTGCCTTTTTTTTTTTTTTTTTTTTGTATGGGAAACTGGTTGGAGTGGTCATTAAAAAAAAAAAGGGTTTGCGGTGCCGTGCATCACATCACTTGAGGCCCACAAAAGCCACAAAAGCAGATCTTTATAATTACATCTGGGCGCATCTGCCACGTCGCTCTCAAACAGATTCGGCACCAATTTGTTGTTTTCTTTTTAATTGGCTCGCACAGCTGTCGCATTGGTTAGTCACCGCGAATGGGGATGTGGCGTTTTGCTTGGGAAGCAAAATCAACTCTTCGCCACTTGGAGGGAAACTCAGCGCACCCTCGACGATTAGCCAAGTACAAAACAAGACTTTTTTTTGAATTGAATTGCTTTGGTTCAGGGTTCAAGAGCGCAGAAGAGGAGACGCAAGTGCATACACGGCAAGTTGTTGGCAACTGGAGCCGTCTCTTTAATGACCTCGGTTGCACAAGTAGCAGTTGATGGCAATTGATTGAGTCCGAGAACGACGGTGAGCGCCGGCGTTTTATATGCATTGGCTTTACCTCTGCCTCCAGGGCTTTGTTGTGAAAGAACAATGAGATCCTCTGGATGTCCTCTGACTTCAGCCACTGTCTGCAGAGCGAGCGGGGGGGGTCACAGTATTTATTAAGCCGCACAACCTGCACGCGAGTCACGTTTGCCATTTCAAAATGCGTATTCGCCGTTGGTTTCCGCTTACTTCTGTGAGTTGATGCCGTCGATGGTGCGAATCATCCGCTCGTTGAGTTCTTCCTCAAACCTCCTCCTCTGCGACTTGGACCTTATTGAGCATAGCAAGAGCGGGTTTATTAGACAACACGTCAAAAATCAAAAACGCAGCCCCCAAAAGGCAATCGCGGCTCACCTTTCCCGTCGCTGGAAGTGGTACTGCCCCATCGGAACGTCCTAGCGACAAGAATCCCATTTTGACACGTCAGCAATGATATTTTTTAAGAGTCGTACTCATCGTATAAGCGTCCTGACCGTGGTGTTGATCTTGCCGTTGTCCGTGCTCATGCTGTCGCGGTGGTGGAGGTTGGCGAAGGGCTTGGCGGCGCCCCACGACTCCAGATAGCGGGTCATGCGGACGGACGCCCTCATCTTGCCGCCATCCAGAGACGGGCGAGAGCGCAAGCCCAGCAGAGGGCTGTGCTTGGCGGTCTGCCACATATTGAAAGCACGTTTTGTTCACGGAGAAAAGAATTTGGGGAAGAATCTCTCTTGCTGTCGTCATGCTATCTATTTGTATGGAAGCATGAAAAAAAATATGGCTCATCATGCTAGTTCAGAGTCAATTTCTTCTCCTCTCCCGGCATTTCTCCATGTCCTTTTTCTGCTCTTTCCCCCCCCAAATTTTGGAGGCCTATTTCGGAATATAACCTGCGAGAACTCGCCGGATGTTCCCCAGCGAAGTTAAATGGAGGGTGTAACAGGCCGCCGAAAAGCCATCCCTGTCCGAATAGAAAGCGACACGGCCCTTAATGGTTGCGCCGATGCCACCGCGGGTGCACTGACGGTGACATTCAATCACAATGACTGCAAAGACGACACATGCCGTCAGCCTGCGGCCCCTGTGTGGCCTTCTCCATTCAAAGCTTCTTGAAAATGTCATCAAAGTCCTGCCGCCTTTTTCAAATATCTGACAGGATATTAAAAAGCTCATAAATGTGAATGGAGGGAGTGCGAGGCGGAAGTCCAGCCGTACTTTGTGAGGGAGTCACATGAAACAATCATTTTGCCTGCTCTGCCCTACTTCTATGTGCATCCAGTCCATGAATAGTCTTTTCTACTTTCGATACTGTTCTGTAGATTAAGGCTGTTCATTCTATTTTTTCTAACGGATCCCGGTTTGAGTATTTACTCTCGGAGCGCTCATCGATACCATTGTATCAATACTTTTGATATATGAAATTTCATTTGCCGCAATCACCAAAAAAAAAAAAAAAAAGTCCTTTCGTTCTGGCACAGATGATGATTTGCCCGCATGCCGCACTAACCCGCCGCAGTATAGCGCCAACTACTGTCGAGGAGGACTTACTCAATGTTGCCCTGGGGCTACCCACGATTAGGAGGGGCCTCTAAAACGTGGAAATCGGAAATACGACGTAGACAAATAAAACCCGTGCTTTTCTTTCAACAGCAGGCCTTTCTAAAAATGTCCCCGAAATCTTTGAATGACAGCGTATACGGCGTATCCAACAATGGGTCTTTTTTTTTTTTAAACATCAAATTGTCTGGGTGATTGAAAGCTTTTGAACAGTCGAGAGTCGTACAAGTATTTCAATTCAAGGATGTGTCTCTGACTTTGATGCGTTCTCCCCACCTTGGGGTTGATGACCAGGAAGGTGGCCACGCCGTGTTCTTTCAGGTACGAGTCTCGACTCTGTCCGTCCCCTGGCTCCACCTTGTAGGAGCCCTTCAGGTACTCCAGAGTCACTGAGGAGATGTGCACCCTCCTGCAGAAGACAAGCTCACATTTGGGTATCTCCTGCAGCTTGGCTGGCCTCTAGTGTAATTTCGAGCTTTTGGTAACTCCCCGAAGAAAAGAAAAAGGGTCAATATTGTTTTGCTTAAAACAGAAACGGATGACGGCGGCGGTGTTATTTGTCAGACTCCTGTCGGAAGGCACCACGGGGAACAAATCACGAGCTGCCTTGGTGGGACAATATCCCGGCGCTGGCTGCACAATGGCTGAATCTTAACTCCAAAACTTGGATTGTCAAAATGCACGTCACGTTCCATGATGTCAGTATGCCAACGGCGCCTAATATAGCGTGACCGGTGTGCGTGTGTCCTACCCCGGCACACCTCCCGCCTCCATGTGATTAGCGAGCGTCACGTCGTGCGACCACACGTCGTATTGCCACTTGCGGAGGCCGATCACGCCGCACAGGACGTTCCCGGAGTGAACGCCGACACGCATGTTGATGTCGACCCTGGTGGCATCTCGAACTTTCCTGAAAAGCGACGCCACGTACACGTTTGAAAGATGGCAAGATGTCCCGCGCCGCAAAAAAAAAACATGCACGTTAGTTTGGTTGAAGAAGCCAAATTGTCAAAAGGCGCGGATATGAGTGTGAAGGCCGTTGGGTTTGGGAAACAAATCATTACACCCGACCAATTCTGCCCTGCAACAAATGACTAACGGAGACAAACAAAAACTTCTCTTAAAAAAAAAAAAAAAGCTATGTCATTTATCATCACAATTATCATGCCAGAGATTTTTTTCTTTTTTTTTGTCATTTGTTTGAAGTCATTAATATTTGCCTGGACCAGGCTTATCAGAATGCGTTCACATTTTGTTTACTCGTGAGTTCAAACAGAACTAAAGCCAGCTCTGGCTTTCTTCCTGCTCCGATGGGCATGTGTGCGCGCGCGGACGTGTGAAGGAGAGAGAGCCAAAGAGTGACACAGAGAGAGAGCGAGAGAGAGAGAGAGAGAGAGATTTGGTATTTTACTTGATGGCCTCACACATATCCAAGCCCATCTTCACACAATTCCTGGCGTGGTGAGGCAGAGATTCCGGCAGACCAGACACGCAATAATAACAGTCCCCCAGGATCTTGATTCGCATGCACTCGTTTTCCTAACGGGAGGACAAAGAGGAAAATATGGAAGAAATGTTTCCAAAAGAATGTGTCCAAAATCGTGCACCTTTCTGTTAGAGGAATCTATGGGCGAAATTGTATCATGTTTAAAGTTTCATTTGATCTGTGCACGTTGAAGCGTCTGGGTGCGTAATTCGCACCCCCAAATTCCTGTTCAGAAGGTGCCGGCCATTTGGGCGGAGGGCTGTTGCAGCCCACACCACAATTAACACATCAAGGCGGGTGGGCGATCAGAGGAGAGAGGGCCAGATCCGGTCACAAAGGGGGAACGAGTAATTTGGGAACAGCGGTTGAACAACAAAAGACGATTTGAGAACACCCGTCGCGCCCAGGCGACATTTGTCATCCGCAAAGTCCGCGATATGTTGATACAGTGTAGACCAGACCAAAAGGCGCCAACGTGCCGGTGGTTCAAAGCTCATACCCAGGTAACCAATCACTACCGAGGGGCCGGACCAGGGGTACGGTATGCAAATATCGGGGGCAATGATTTTCTTGTATTTGCATATGTCACAAATAAATGTCCGAACTCGAGGAGGGGGGGCTCTGAGCGTGATCACGGAGCAACTAAACCGTCGTTCGCTCTCAGAGATCCGCTTCCGTCGATATTGAAGACAATTTTCCTGTGTGCCGAGTCGTTTCTTTAACCTTGTCCGAGAAAATCTCTGACATTTCTGACAAATTTGTGCGCGGTACGCTGTTTCTGTTTTTTTTTCCCTCCTCGAGACCAGCGGTACTCAAATCTTTCAGCGGCGAGTCACGCCTGAAAGTAGACCAAGCGCTCCGTTTCAAATCACGATTCGATTCAAATGCGTAGCACAAAAGTCATCAAGGTTGCAACTAAATAAATGCCGTACAGACCGGTTTCTCGACGAGCATTTCTTTTCGTTTTGCCGTGAAGCCGTATTTGGAGTCCTCCTGATAGCGTTGATTGGATGTCACCTTTTGGAAGTATATTTTCAATTTTGGAGAACCATCGCTTTGGACACATCCATCAAGGCCAACATCACGCCCCCACTCACATAACATGAGTCTACATTCCACATGTGGGATGCGGAGCGTCAGCTCGTGGCTGGACCGGTCTTATATAACAGCGGCTCCGTCCACCGGCGGGCACGAAGCGTCAAGAGCCTGACTCAAGCTCTCACAAGCGCCAGATAAGCTCTTGCAGCCCACGTCTTTTATACCCCTTTTCCACCATAGAAAATAAAAATCGCCGCTCGTTCGGCGCTGGAGCAGGGGCTGTGCTTCGTTGGTGCTTAATTAGCAAGTTCTTACGAAGTACACATTTGGTTTTCCACCGGCAAAGAGACAAGTTAGGAGCTACATACATCGTTACGTCATCGTAAAGCGCATCGACATCACCGCTTACGTCGACGTTTACCCAAGAGCGCCTGCGCCATTATTGATAATACTAATAATAATAATATGCTGTTAGCATCTGCTAGGCAACGTAGCGATTACACTTTTATGTAGTACATAACAGTCAGGGACATGCAATCAGCAAAGCCTGATATGTTTCTTCATCATTTCTGCGAGTCAGTGATCGCATGCCATGTGGGCACACCCGCCGTCGCTCTTCTGGTGGGACACCATTGTGCCGGAGTTCACCGCTCAACAGTTTGTGCAAAACCGCCGTGTGTCCAGGGAGTCGTTCCTCCACATCTGTGATCATCATAATAACCCCAGACCACGCCCCCTGACATAGTTGGTGCCAGAGCCTAGCCCGACCAATAAATGGGGCCAGTTTAAGAGGACCAGAGCCAATTTCGGTGGTGGAAAAAGAAAGAACTGGTGCTAACCTGGGCACTGGCCCGGAACAAGCGCAAGCACAAGCACAAGCGCAAGCGCGGTGGAGAAGGGCCATTAGAGGGGCCGTGAATGGCCGCAGGACAGGGGCAGAGATGTGTTGATTGACCGTCATTTGATCGACGGCGCCAGACAGACTCTCTCATTATTATTTATAATGAAGCAGATTGATCAGGCGGTACCAAATGAGAAAAGGAGCCATTATTTTACACGTTACTTTATTTCCAATCATTGAAGTCGAAGAGAAACTCAAACTTTTAACGAGGCTGAAGCATCTGTCACCTGTTAAAATGTTACTCCGTCCTTAGATTAACTTTGCCTGATTTGAACATACGACAAGAGTGAATAGGATTTTCCGCATTAAAAATGAAATGGTTTCCGACCTTGCATACACACAGCTCATTTTGGTCAAAATTGAAGGTTAAAGAGATCGGATTTTTTTTTTTTTTCACTCATCATAAAAGATGAAGTCAAAAGCTCTGCTTCGGCAGAAACTGCTCAATGAAATGCATTTTTTTTTAAAATTGGCTTTTAGCTAATTTCGAGGAAAAAAAAAAAAACAAGTATCAAGAGCCAAATCTTTTTTAAGGCATACTAGACAGCCTATATATTTGAATGAAATAATGTAAAACCATTTTAGATACCATCATTGTGTGGCAAAATAAAACCAAATTAATTCAAAGGCAGCGGCGGTGGTGTACAGCTTGTGATTGGCTTCGGCTCGCTAGAGAAAGTGGTTGGATGGATGGCTGATTTACATGTAAATACATGCTAAGGAACATTTTTGTGACCGTACCTTAGCAATCTGGTCAAACTTTCCAAAAAGTTCGTTGAGCATGTGCACGAGCTCCCCTGGTGCGCAATCGCTGGCCAGCCTGGTGAAGCCCACGATGTCGGCATAAAGAATACTGCGGGAATCGGGAACAAAGAGCAATTTGCCGTCATTGCGCCTCAAAGGGGGCTCTTGGATCTTTCAAGGAAAAAAAAAAGGTTCTTGTTACATGCACAGCACTTTGTTCCAGCTGCTGTTGTTGTTCGAGCGCTATAGAAAGGAAGTTGAGTATCGTGCGCATGTGTGATTGTTTCCCAACCTCTGGCGCACAACCGCACGTGCGCACGCACACGCACAGACTCACACTTGAAGGCCACTTAAGGATATTGTCATATTCTTTCCTTGTTTAGGAAATCAGCTTTCCAGAGGACATTCCTTGGAGAGGCTCTCACGTTAAGCCCAAATGATTGTACTCGCCTCGCTTTTGTACACGAAAAGGGGGAGGGGGGAGAGATAAAGTGACCTCGGCTTACAATGAAGCCGGATTAACGCTGATTTGATATTGTCCGTGGCAACAATACGAATACAAAGATTGGGAGGAGGGGAAGGACAGACGACGACGGTAAGGAAATAAAAGCAGGTGATCGAAGATGAGAGGACGCCAGAGTGGGTCGCAGTCCAAGACGAGATGATGACGAGCAAGTAGGGGGGGAGGACATTGTGTCATAGTTTCAACAAAAGAGCAGAGAGCAGCGATGAGAAAAGAAATTCACCTGACGTTGGTGTGCCGCTGCACGTACAGGTTGTGGAAGTTGTTGGTGTTCTCGGTGCGACCGAACTTTGGGCCCTGAAGCCGCTGGATGATCTCGGCTTTCATCACTCTGGCGATGTGAGACGGCAACAGGGACAGGAGCAAACGTTCCTAAGAAGTGGGGGGGGGGGCAAAGTGACTTGACAAATTGTGAATGGAGTCGATCGCAGGAACGGCAAATAATTCATGTTAATGTTAATTATGTGGGAAAAAAAAATGTACAAAATGAGTTCTTGCACTTAAAGTTGATTTTGAATTTGGCCATTCCTGATTTAGACAAAAGATTCCGAAGGCATTCCGAAATTTTAAATCTGGAACATCAAAATCGGTCAGATGAACGAACCCTTTGCACACCGTGCAGCCGATTTTCACATGCAAAAAAAAAAAAAAAAAAGGCGCGGCACTCTGCCCTGCACTTTGGTCGGTTTTGTTGAAGGCTTTGTGGCGTTACATGACTGGAACTGTTGTGTAACCACTCAAAGTAGTGTTTTGTTCCTTTCGGGGTGCTTTCATTTAGTCGAATGCCCATTAGGTGTTCCAGGCTGATGTTTCAGACGTGCGTTTCGTGTGCATGCTACAGAGACTGAGTAGCCGCCTTAGGGGGTGTGACTCACAAATGCAGCTAAGAGCACAGAGGGTCATTACACCGTTCGCTCACAGCTCCGACTCATTTCCTAAAACACAGCGGAAAATTAACAAGATTGAGAGGTTGCGGGCTGCTGGGCCGCACCAAAAATAGACAACTTTAACACCCACTTCACTGCATGCCTCTCTTATTACAAGGATGTTGGATAAATGGACTAAAGTGATGTTTCAGTCAGTGGTAGGTAATGAATGGGATGGTGGGCCATTTTGCTTTTACGCTCCCAATTTCCGGACCGGGTCGGATGCATTGAAATATGACATATTATACAACGCTGTCATCGATAACATTCGCACTGTGTCGTGTCCATCGAGATTAGAGAGCGAACGAAAGAGAGGAGGAGAGAGAGAATCATACACTGAAATGGAAATCTTTTGACAAAAATATACAAAGCTCTCCGATTGACTGCCAAGCAATCCCGGGTGCGTTCCGCCTCTTTCCCAAAATCAACTGGGATCGGCTCCAGCTCACCCGTGACCCTTCCGAGAACGGGCCCTGTCGAAAACGGATGGCTCGTCATAGCCAGTCCCACCTGAGTGTACTCTCAGTTATTAATTTGGGCTGTCGCTGCCCTTTCACGGGCTCAAACAAACGCTGAATGTCAAGATTTTAATGCCAAGCAAATGTCACGGAAAAAAGCCTCCTTCCATATGGGATTGGCAAATAACCAAATTAACCTTAACTAAAGTTAATTGCCCTGTGGGGATCAATAGGTTTCTCAATCCGATTCTGACAAAGTGAGCTACGAGAATATTTTGCAGGAGAAGAGGTTGTCATTTATTTTCGGCTCTCGGAAAATCCGCGCGAGAAATATTTTTTCAAACTTCTGAATAGCCATCCGTCCATTTGACACGTGGCACGCTCACAGCTGACAACGAGGCACTCTGGTGGCCACGCAGCTGACTATACGCAGGGAGGAAGCATTTTGGGGGTGTGGCTAATTGGATGTCGCAAATGCGGCGGATAAGTCGATATTTCGTGGCAGAGGGGCAACTTTTGCCGCACTCCGAAGCGCATCATATGAGGCCGTTTTAGCCACGCCCAGAAATGGTTTCTTCTCTCTTTATCCTCAACCCCACAAATGCATCAGTTGTCCGTTTCTACCTGCTGGTGCTTCTCAAACTCCAGCTTGATGGGGGACTTGATGCAGTTACAGGTGTCCTGGTAGGTCTGCTTGAGCGCCACGTCCATCAGGTGCTTGTGGTACGCCCCCGCTAAGTTACCGCAGGTGAAGATAATCACGTTGGCCAGGATCTGCACACGTATGCACACCAAAAAGAACACGGCGTTTCAAAAAAAGCGCACCGTGGTGACGCACGCTTCCCCACCATCCCCGCCTACACGATTACCTTGGAAAACCAGATAAGAGCGCACACTTCAACCGCACTTTTCCGCCGCTGTGTCAACCGCAGGCTGTTTAAAACTGTGGCCGTGCATATCAATAGGTTGTCCTTTGCTCCGCTAGCCAAGGGCAACGGGCGGAGTTAGACGTGTTTTATTTTGTGTGTGTGTGTGTGTGTGTGCGCACATCTTGGGCATCACTTTGTGGAAGTCTGGCCAACGGTGACATTTCCCTCCATCTCTGGACTTTTGATGGCACTTAGTGTATTTATGGAGACAATCGGAGCATTTCCCCGGGTGCTCTTTATGTGGCAAACAATGCTTGATTTGGATAAGTGGACATAATTCAGCTAAATTAGTTTTCGTTCCAGACACGCTGCCTAGTCTATTTTTGGACTTTACTCGTTAAGTAGAGTGGTACCTTGACTTTGACTTGAATTGGTTTCGTGACCAAGCTTAAGCATTTTACTCACGGATCAGATCAACTGACTGTTTTGAAATGCCATCGATCTCTCCCAGCCCCCCCCCCCCCACTCTAGTTACTTTTCAATCACCCTGCAGATCTCCAGGGCCCAAAACTGAATTACTGTCTCACCTGCCAGACGAGAGCTTCCAAGTCGTTGGCGACGGAAGCCAAGCAGACGCTGAGGGTGACGGTGTGCGACAAGCAGGTGACGGCGCTGGCCATGATGGCCCCTCGCATGGAGAAAGGCAGCATGGTGTACACAACAAACACAATGAACAGGAAGAAGGACACCTGAAAACACAAAAGACAAACACAACTATCGGCGTGAGAGGAATTCCTCCAAAATCAATGAAATGACTGCCTCAACCTTCACATGTCAAAATACAGTAGCAACTTGAAGGTAGTTTTATTGATTATGAAGTGAATAATCCAAAACAAATGTGAGTGCAGTTCACTACATTGGGCACCCCTATACAATTTTACGACAGTGGTCGTGGCGTGACCTCCAAATGGCGGCTCTCATCAAAGTGCGACTTCTGACGCTGTCCTTGTGGGCTTCCTCTGCGGTCAGCCCACCCTTTCCTGTTGTGATGGTGACCATCGCAGACAGGTCACCGTTTCAACCAGATGAACTCTGACCTTCCTGCCTCGTCTGTCTGTTGTCTTCCTGTGTCTTCCAGCGTCCGCTGAGGGCGACAGCTATTTGGCACAAGGGATCTGCGCGTACGTGCGTGTGCAAGCCAGCTATTATTGCTCTGACATTTTTTTTTTTTTTTTTTGGGTGCAGCCTTTTGCCAAGCACAAACAAGCTTCCAGTCGTGAGATAAGCGACGGTAAGGCGGACTGAGTTGCAGGTCCAGAAGCCTCGATCCCGTGCAAGACGGAGGGAAAGGGGCGCTTGGTATAGGCTTCCCGTTGCCACGGGAACCAAGAAGGCTGACGTCGGAAAAGCGCTCGAGCCTCCCGTAGATGGAGAGTGCGGCGTCCGGTAATTTGGGTGGAATTGACGTTGGCAGTCCAATTTCAGGCCCGTCACTCCCCGCCCCCTCCGAAGCCGGCTAGGTGCATTTCATCTCCGCCGTACTCCCGCCTGAATGTTAATACGCCCTTCCAACACCTCCAGATGGGAGCCGCGGCCGCCGTCGCCCGGCTTCGGCTATCTTGATTACCTCCCACTCTGATGTCAGCGCCTCTGATCGCAGAAACCGGCGGTAAGCTCCCAGAATATCCCGCTCTCTTACCTTGACAGCGGCGCCTTCGCTAAAGACTCCATTTCTTTCGCCGGTAATTCAGTTTAGCGAGGAAAGTGATTCTTGTGTTCCTCCCATTCCAAATTGTATCACTCTTTCTAGTATCCCATCCCACTCAAATGGTCACCAAACAGTGGGACATTGTACAACGATGTAAGACATCCACTACACACTCTAAAAACAGTGGGGTCAAAAATCTGGCACTTTCGATAAACAATGGAGCGATATTTGAGTCTGGACATAGCAACATGGAAAATGGAGCCATTTTTTCTGAAGGCAAACCCCAAATATTTGCGGATGGGTCTGTTTTTCACCCACGTAGAGTCATTTTTGACCCAACTGTTTTTAGAGTGCAGTGTCTTTTGGGACACATTTCTGGATTATTCATTTGATCCAAAATTGTGTCAAAAGAACATTCCGCAAAACAACCCCTAAAATTGTGTTGTTTTGTACAACAAAAAAAAACAAAAAACTGGGTTGTTTTGTGAAAAAAATGGTTATTCCCTTTTGACCAAATTTTTTACAAGACTGTGTTTAGACTGTAAACTTACCACCTGACCTCTGCTGCATTAATTACGATTATTACTTTTTTTTTTTAGGGTAATTAAAAAAACACTTGAACCTTTTGGGGTATGTCCAGCAGACAAACCCACCGAAATGACAAGTTTTAGGCTCAGTAGTAGTCACTCACTATTTTGCCACTGGAAAGTATCCTGCAGGCTGTTGTTGACAAATATTGTCAAAAAGTGCAAAGGGTCACTTTTTGTAGTTTGTCAAAGGAAGGATGGTAGCCAAAAGTGGAATGGTATTGTTTACATTTTAAACTTTAAAACATCATTTGAGGCAATTTACAATACCCCCCCCCCCAAAAAAAAACAAAAAAAAAAAAACAAACGGGTACATTCAAAAATGCTTGTTGGAAACCAGGCTGGGTTGTAAATGTTTCCAAGTAAGCGTAACGACACGTTGAGTCATCTGCGTCCGAGCGGCCCCTCTCGCCAGAGAGACGGGGGCCCTGCTCAGAAATTGAATAAAGCCCCGGACCAAAAGGTTAATGGCGCTCGATGGGAGCTTGTACTGTATGCGGACATGACTGCCCGACTCTGACATTCCTCCGACACAGTCTGTTTGACAGCCGTGTTTATCTGTTTACGCACGTGCGTGCGCGCCTGCGCGTGCGCACAGATTACTTGTGAGCGAGCGAAAAAGCCTATGTTGCTTTTGTCTCCTTCTGCTTCAGACCTTTTGCGTTATTAGCTCTGTGGGCTCAAGTAATCACCATCCAGGCAACCCACAGAGAGGTAGCTGCAATTTCATTTTTTTTTCCCCTCCCCTTTCTTCTCTCATTCCATCCCCCCCACTCGCTTTCCTTCCTTATTTTTTGGAGAAAGTCAGCGCTGATTTCGCCGCATGGGATGTGCGCCGCTCCGTATTGTGTCCCAATATTTTTGCATCCATCGGCGCGATAAGATGGATGGAGAGAATGAGCGATAGAGTGATTAATAATTCAGATTGATAGCGCTCCCACAGGTGGCCGATGATAAAAATATCTCCCGTCGTGGAGGAAGAGGCAAAGAATTGTCACCGGGGGGAGAGGAAATTTGGGCCTGAGCGTGTGTGAGAAATCGGCAGAAAACCGGGGCAGGGGGGTCGGAGTGTTGGCGGCAGGTGCGGAGAGGACGGGATTTGATGAATATGTGGAGACAAGGTGCGAGATGGAGAAAATAGGATTCCCAAGACAGCCGGTGAGGAGGAGCTCTGGCGCGGAGGACGAATGTGTCTGACTGCTCCTTTGCTCGCATCAGACCTAATTAAGACTTGTCACACGCGGAATTCATTTAGACACACGGGCGCGCACACACATCATGTCCACGCGCGGACAAAGACACACCGTCGGTCTGATGTGTAAAAACGGGACTCGTATGAATGGCGGCGTCCCACGGAAGCGTAATAATGCTAACGAGATCGAAGCTGACAGTTTTATCGGAAGCCGTCTCCGGACTTCTGTGTTTATAAATTGCAATACATCCAAATTGCTTTTACCTGGTCCCAGGGACTGAGGATCCCTCCGGAGAACATGAACAGGTAACCCATGGTGACGAGACATGCCCATATAAGGAGGGAGAAGAGGCGGAGCATACGCTTGAAAACGGACTCGATGCAGACGAGAATGAAGATGGACAAGAAGAGGAAAAGGGCCGTCGGCACCGTGATTAGAAAGGTCAGGTGGTCCTCGGTATTCTGAGAAGAGAGAACACATTTACAGGCTGTTTACTGATTATGGTAATCCACAGAAAAAAAAATCAGAAAGTCTGCATTTGAAAACACACCTGAACTAAGAACCGCCGCACACCAAACGACGTGGCCAAATGCGAGTGAAGCGGACCTTCGCGAAAAAATGACCGGTCGTGGCTCACTCGCACTCACATGGAAAAACTCTTACCCTGTATCTGGTTTTAACCAGATACGACATACTGTACTGTATTCTTTTCTTGTAAACCACAAAAACATGGCGGGATTGTCAAAGGAGGAAGTGGATTGGCAAAAATCGCGGAAACTGGCAAGAAGGCTAAAGTGCTATCGTGTGGATATTTGGACATGCTGTTGGCAACGATCGATCGCCCCATCCATTCACTGATGGCACACGCGTATTTCAGCAACAGAGACTCTCCGCGCTTTGCTTTCCACCCGGACGTACATATGACATTGTAAATAGAGTCGAGGATGATTGTAAAACAACCCAGTTCGATTGGTTTCAGCTCCGTGCACCTGTTCGAGGAAACAATTTCTTCCTATCTCCAGATGACCATCGGCAAAGCTAAAGAGCTGCCAAAAGATGTCCCCGACAAGATTCTAGAAGTGGACAAGGCTGGGATGGCATCAGCAAAAGGCTTGGCAACAATCGGCACCATTATTCCAAAGTGGAAGACACACAAAAGACCATTGATTGATTGCCCTTGGTCGAGAGCTTCTGAGGATGCTGAGTTATGAAACGCTTTTATCCTGGCAACATTTAGAGAACCCCGCCTATTTATTTTTGCGTCTGTTTTCCACCTTCTAAAAACAAACCTGAACAGAAAATTGAAGTCGGGTAAGTGCATAGCTGACCTATCGGGACGGCAAACGCACACCATCAACATTATTCTCATCAAAGGCCATTAAAAACACTCTGTGCTACACTTTTGCAACTTAGACCCGCCAACTGGTGTCGAGCTAACAGCAGCAAAGCGCTTGCTATCTTTTGGCATGCTAATGAGGGCAGCCGGTCCTCGCAGGGACCGAGGCACAACATGACACAAACAGATGAACAGACTGCAAGCGCAATAGACAGACGCTCTGAGCCCGGAGAATGTGCTAGAGTTTCACTTCTGCGCTCGCGCGGTCAAACTCAGCATTTTTGACGCTGTCAACACACACTCATGTACACACGCCATCCAATTAATGCACTTGAAACATTTGGCTCAGCAGAATTTTCTCACCGCCCATTAACTTCCTCGTGTTAAAAATAAGCAATCACATGTCGGCAGAGGCGGCGAAAGTACTCGCACTCAGTACTTGGTAGAAGTACAGATAGTTGAGAGAAAAAGACTCTTGGAAATGAACTACTAATTCAACTACCGTACTTAGTTTAAGGTAAAACAAAAAAAAAAAGCCTTGCCTTTGCATTTCCTTTATGTGTTAGCATGATGTGTGAGTATTAAGCTGGCGGCCAGTCTGGCAACGGTATGTATGGTTGTAAAATTCAAATGGGAGTGAGGCCACTTTTTGGAAAAAATTGTTGCCTATCTGCTAAACGACTGCTTGTTGTGATCTCACATTTTTGGCTCGTATTTGGAAAAAAAACCCGACAAAGTCATGTCACTTGCATATCAAAGCCCGAGTGCATTTGTAGGTTACTTCCCACCACTGAGCAATGAGCACGATTGGAAAGTTGTGGTCAAGGAGACGTTATCAGCCGTGCCTCTGGTGACTAATTTGAGAGGGAATTGACTCGTTGAGAAATGTCGAGGCCCCACAGCCGAAGAGTGCTACAGATGAAGCCTTGTGAAGTGTATTAGTGTAATGTAGCTTTTGGAAGGTAGTATGAGTCATGGTCTGGCACCGGGGTCCCGCGGGATTCGACTGCTGACGCCACCGCGCTCTTTTCAGCTCAAGTGCACAATAGAGTCCTGGAGAGGATGGGAGTCAAGCGCCACGCTTACACAAGACATCCCAACAATGCATTTTAGCTCTTACCTTTCCGCGCTAATGCCTGCACGTTTTGTACGGTTCAAAATGTCGAAAAAAAACGCATTCCCTAATTGATCATTTCATCATCTTAAAACCCACTTATGTATTCTCTGTGGTTTTTATGATGATGTCATGAAATCACTGCACGTGGAAGTTGCAAATCGAATCTTGAAGCGGGACAAGCGCTTGCTAAAAATCCCACAGTGCTCCAATTATCAGGGTGTGATCAATTGGAAAAAAAAAAAAGATGAAAAAATGGTGAGCATTCTAAAATTTCGTCAGGTTTTTCTTTCTTTAGTTTTGAGTTATCGCATGGATCTCTCTTGATTTGTCAAACCCTGCTGCAAAAGCCCTTCTATGAACACGCCACCATGTAGACGCATGCGTGTAAATCAATCAAACAATTTCAAGCGACTTATTTTTGCCCTGAAAAGTGCAGATAAGCTAAAGAAGGAAATGAGACACTTCCTTGGGCAAACACACCCAAACAACAAGCACGTACGGCGACTTTTTACAGAAAGGGTGGAGTACTCCACATCACCATCAAGTCCAAATTCCATCACTCGCAGGTCCGATCATGGCGTGCCTTCATTTGAGGAGCAGCCGTTCTGCTTTGGCGACATTGTTTGAGGCCGAGCTGATGAAAATACATGGCGTCCTTCCCTTCCCGCTCCAGCTATATTCCAACCATTCTTCGTTGACCAGCGCGAAAAACAATACGCCCGGCTGACGACACGCAGCCGTCCGACGGCAATAAATTAGAAAAGTAATGAGGGGGATTCGTGCGCACAGTGGGAATACAGTGACTGACAGGGGCAATGACATCTATTGATCCGGTTCAAATTCAAATACAAGATTGATTGTTTATGATGGAGGTGGCATGAATACAAGAGAACCTTGGAGATGACGCACAGACCACAAAAGGAGATAAAGTGCCAAAAGAGAAAAAAAAACCCACAAGTGTGCGTTCCTTTGTATGGAAATCCATTAAAAAAAAAAAAGAGAGCGAAAACATCACTTCATAAACAATAGCTTGTGTCTATGGTGCGAACAAAAGCTTTCTCTTGACAAAAGCACTAACGCCTGCGTCGCTGTGAATGGCGCTCACGCCGCCTCTTGAGCCACTTGGCAATCCCAGCGTTGCCATTTTAAAGTGGCGCTACACAGTCTCTCAGCTTGCCGCAATTAATGAATTGCATACTCGTTGGGGCATTTTTTTTTTTTTTTTGACAAATAATTAAAAATAGAAGCGCATTCATCGCTTATGTAAACAGCAAAAAAAATAAAATAAAAAAATGCTGCTCTCAAATCAAGCCAAAATATGCACCAAGCGGCTGTTTGGCAGCTAGTTAACAGTTCTTGGTGGAGAGGCCACACAATGCAAAAACGCCATAGACGGGCGAACGAATAACGTCGGCTTTTAAGCACCGGCGATGTGAACACACATGGTGCAGCAAGTTATTTTGACAGGAACTAACTACGAATCACACTTGTATATTCATTATCCTCTGTGAAGAAAGTCTCATTTTACTTCAGCTTACTGAGTTGGGACGTCTAATTATATGTATGTGCAGCTGTAGAACACTGCCCCCACGTGGCAAAGGGATGCACACCAGAAAAATTAAAATTGAATTGAAGCAAGAAAAAAAAAGCGTCAAAAAACATGATTTAATTCTCGACATTTTATTTCATGATGTGACATCAATATGTTTTATTAAAGCATATGAAATGTGTTGTTTTATTGGGCATGTCTACTTGTTTTAATACGCCTTGAACACTCCAATTTTCTGCTTCTACTGGATGTTCATTTTGCTGAAGTAAACTATTTCTCTTGGCTCCAACTCACCCTCAAACCAAATGGGGACAAGCAGTGTACAAAACGGATGGACGGACTTTTTAATGGCTTGCATACAAACACCAGGGTCTCGAGAGTGCCTGGCCACCCATCAAGTGTGAAATTAAACAGCCAAGTACAGTCTAAATCTTTTGTTAGCTGCTTATCTCTGAAAATGCGTCTGCTCGCGAGCAGCTCTGCTTTTTTTTTTTTTTTTTTGTCACAGTACCCCCACATTGAGTTTCTCTGCCCGTGGCATGATTAGCTAGGCTAGGTGAATATCCAGAGCCCTTTTCAAGCGACCAGACAACACTGCCTGAAACTCTAATATAACTCTCAATATGGAAACCCCCCCACTTACCCCCCACTGGTTGGATACCCAAAGCCAAACGTTTAGTTTGGGTGGTTGCGTAACTTAGCTTCGTTTTTTTCTGATCAACAGCACACACTGGATCGCCTGCTCAAGTTGTCAGCCTGGTTCATGCCGATGCGCCGCACCCGCACAATATAGTCGATGATTGAGTGAGAGCGAGGTCAAGGCAAAATGCGTTTTTCGGCACAGTGCCATCTCCTGGTCGCGGTGCGACTTCCTCTTGTCCTATTTTGCCCTGAAAGATACTGTAAATCTCCACTGCGTAGCCACATGCTTAACTTTCACTCTGCTCTCCTCACGCTTGCAACAAAACTGCAAAGCGTTTGAGCGCATTTAACCCAGACGAGCTCCACACCGAGTCCGATATCCATTGCCTTCATTTCACTCTTGCCGACGCCCTCAAAACGTGTTCTTTCGATTTAAAAAAAAGAATACAGTGATGGAGCAGAGGCACAAGTTCATTCAACTTGGGGACAGCGTGATCAGGAGAGCCGCTGGCTTACGGTGAAATTCATTTTGCCGTTAGACGTGAGGAAAAACAAACTCCCAGGAGCACGCAGTCGCCGTTGGCCTGTTTTGCATGGAAATATGAAAGAATATGGATGCCAAACGCTGTTTAATACGGGCTGCTAAGCACTGTTCTGGATTATGATGGGGATTTGCAAGATCATGCCAAAATACAAAACCAGCACTTGTACTCAATGCCTCCACAGAATTGCAGGCCACTGGTCCCCATCTCCTCCCTTTGCTTATTGATCTTTTTAACATGCAATTCTTTTTTTTCAGCTCTACGATATACATGCCCGACAACAGTCATTTTGTTTTGTGTATGCTTCTTGGCCTGGCACAGCACTTGGCAAACTTGTGTTTATAACGGTGCGATCAAAGTTGTATTTATGTTTTTGCTTTGCGGTTGGACAATAAATTCAATCAAATTTTATTTCGAGCGCACCTTGAATTTTTATACATGAAGAGGATGTCTTTATATTGAAACTACTTTAAAATGCTTCATTGTGCGGTTAAATCCTCACAGAATGAAGAGTGCAAATTCCCAAAGTGCCAAAATCGAGTGGAAAAGCACTCCGGTAGTCACGGTTAATGAAGCAAAGGGCAGATTTAAAAGGCATCAAAGCTCGAGATATGAAGCAATCACAAAGCTGTCCTCCCTCACGGTGCCCGCACGGTGCCCACCAAGTCATTTCCTTTTCAACTAAGATGTTCATTTTTAAACGCGCTATTAAATACAGAGCGCGAGGGCAGACCGCCAAAAGTTACGACTTTTAAGTTCCAAGCACGCGAAGCCCCGTCTCGTGGCGCTCACTCACCAGCCCCGAGGCAAAGAAGACCACCAGCAGTGCCACGCAGGTTCCCATGACGATGAGCAGCAGGAAGACGATGAGCGGATGCTGCTGGCTCATCCTGGAATAGGAATCGTACAGCCAGTCCTGCCGCTTCTCGCCCTCCGCGCACGCCTCCACCCCCTGGAAGCCCGGGCAGCCCTCCGCGCCGTGGCCGTCGGGCCCCTCGCCGCCCTCGGCCCCATCGCTCTTCTCCAGCAGGTAGCGACCGCGGGTCCACAGCGCCTCCTCCCACATGGGTGCGCGCCTCCCAGGGGCGGCAAGGGCGGGGGGGTCACCCCGCAGAAGTTCGGCTCGGGTGTGATTGATGCACAGATGAGCGGATGAAGATGCCAGCGCTTCCTCCCCCACCCCCGGGGCTTCCCTCACATCCTCTCAGGACAGCATGAGTGAGCCTCTCGCGGGTTCCCTTCTGGAGGCGCTGGCCCTTCTCCGTTTGGCGTCCTCTCTGGCCGCGGCGTGCTACTCGGCCGAGGTGCAGATGAGGACTGGGAGGGAGCGACCGTGTGGAGCTGGAAGGGAGGGGAAAAAAATAAAGAGTGTGAAAGGGAGGGAGAGAGGGTGTGTGGCGGGGGGGAAAGATTTGTGTATGTGCCAATGGAGTCCAGAAACAGCCGCGTAAAAAGGAGGGGGAACGAAAGATGGTGTGAAACTGGCGAAGATAACAGTGGGTTGACTAAATGTGTGTGTGTGTGTGTGTATGCGTGTGGAAAAGGCCCTTTGAAAATGAGTGAGTGAGACAGATTGTACCAGCTGTGCTCAAGCACAAAGGTGGGGAAAGCACTCACTGTCCGTATTTAAGTACAGGAACTAAAAATAGACTGGTGACAGAAGAAGTACTGATTTTGACTCAAGTTAAAAATAAATAACAATAAAAAAATAAACGCTCGTTTGGGTTAGCTGAGGCTTTTGTGTTGTCAACACACCGTGTTCCCAGAGCTTTGCTCATGTTGTGAACTAACAGGGGAAAAAAAATACACATCCCGTCTGTTTTTTTTTTCTCCTCAAATTATTTTAAAAAGGGTTTGTAATTATGTATAGACACCACAAGATGGCAACTACACCACCATGAACCAGTGTTGCAGGTGTTCGGTGGTTAAATTCAACACAAACAACCGTCACATCAATAGTATGAGCTAGCATAGCGGCTGAAATAACATGCTAGCGCAACCACGCGAGTTCACATACGGGCCAACAAATGTGTGCACTACACACATACATTTCCGCTAAAATAATCAATGTTAAATAGTACTATACTGTTAAATAGTCAATAGCAAAGTCAATTACACGAGGCGTTCAAAATCGAAACTTCACTTGCGACCGCTCTCTCTTCATATCACGTTGTCATGAGTGCTGGGTAACAAGGCAGATTTAAGAGTAGAAAGTCCATGTAACTGTGTTTACATGTCGGGAGTACCAGTAAAAAGGTACCAGAAAAAGACCCAATCTACTTAAATACAATAGTAGCGCATTTGTAGCCTACTTTGTTATTTCCCACCACTGCTAGTGCACGAGGGACGTGACAAGGAAGGAAAGAAGGAGAGAAAATATCAAACTGATGAGATGAAAAGGGGGCTAAAAAAGAATGGGGAGGAAGAGGAAAGGGAAACAAACTCCGGAAGGTAAAAAAAAAAAGAAAATAAAAAAAGCCTTATCAGGAAGAAAGCGAGCGAGAGAGTGTGGCGGAGGAAGTGCAAAGCTTCAAAAGGCGGCAAAATGCTGCTAATGAGGCAAAAGTTGATCGCCGTTGTCAGAAGAACACGCGAAGAGCGCGGAGCCGAGCTAAGATTGAACCAAATTGAGCAAAAAGAACTAAGTGATTAAAAAGTCATTGGCTGTCTTCAGAATCACTCACTTCATGTCCTCTACAGATATCGTTCCTTAAAATGCGACTTCAACGACTGGTCGACTATTACCTTGTTAAGATGGACACCAAATAACTCGACACGGACAACTCAGCACACTAGTAGGATGGCTTGGCTGCACTAGTAGAACAACCGTGTCTTATGAGCAACATATTTTTCCACGACTTGTTAACACTTCTGGTCTAACAGTTCGTCCTTCAGGTGGACGACGTGAAAATAAATCCTCAAACCGCTTCAAAATCTTTGAGACTGAGATGAAAGTCCATCTGCGAGTCACTCTTTGTGCTCCCAAGAAAGACCCTTCAGTTCATGGGTGGAACAACTATTGCGCCCTTGTGGAATGACCGTCAAACTCGTCATGACTTTTCACTACGATGGCTAGCATCGAAAGACTCGACAAGTGCCCGATACTTTAAAAAAAAAAAGGGCTGGCTGGTAACGATATTCGTCCATATCCTCACTCATAATCCATAACTACAGCGCAGCACAAACCCATCCACTAACGATATTCGTCCATATCCTCACTCATAATCCATCCATAACTACAGCGCAGCACAAACCCATCCAAACGAATACAAAAGACAAATCTCTTTCTCGTTTTGTTTTCATCGCAAACCTTCTGGCGGTTGAAAGGAGAAAGTCTGTTTACGAAAACAAATCCCACGCTCCAGGGTGAGGATGCGTGGGGACGATTCCACCGTGATCCATCCAACGCAGGTTGAAAACGGTGTAAACAACGGCCAAATCGTGTAAGAGCTGCAGGTACTGGCTGAGGAATCGCGAGGACCCGTCACAGTATTGATGAAAATGCATTGATCGACTCGCGATGGATGGCCTCACATGATATTTCCAGAAGAGTCGCAGACGATGGGGCTTCGCCGTTGTTCATCATCACCCAGCGGCATTTAAACCACAAATGCTCATCAGTAACTAATCAGGTTTTCATAAGGCGCTTCAGCCGCCCTTCCTGGAAATCAGCCAACGTGTGGCCAAAAGCGACACAGTGGGAAAGAACATTTCTGGACACTCAGCATCCAGCTGGTCAACGTAATGAGTGTAATGAGCCCGAATCTATTAGCACTGGTTTGACTGATGTGCCACATGTTGTCCTATTTCCCCGGCAGTGGTGCGACGGGATCACGCCGGTCTCGATCACTCTCTAAATAACACAAATATGAATCTGAGTTTGCAGAGTCCAAATTTTGTTTGATTGGTTTTATTTTTTTTCCCCCATAAGTGTTTTTGGAATGGTAATATTGAATTTGAGATTGTAGCACAGTAGAGAGACATGGAGTCAAGCACTGTAAGAGCCGAAATTCTCTTGAAAGTCTGATGGCATTTAACGGTGAGCTGCTAAAAAAAACAAAAACCAAACAAAAACGTGTCGTGTTCTCCTTCCGAGAGTGAGTGAACGTGTGAACACCCAATCTGCATATACATCCGCATGCAATCTGCACTCGGATCTTGCACTGCCTGCTGCCTTTCCTTGAATGAGCCTATGCCAGAAGAGCTAATTGGGTCCGCCTTGATGCCGCAGAGACATGTTGATGAACGCGCCGATGCAAACGTGCGCGCGCACACACACACACACACGCACACTAACTATACATGAGTAAGTGTGTCTGCAAGCGTGAGACAGTTTGAACTGTGACTCATGTTACTTGATTCAACGCGTCCTTGTCTCGCTGTGATAAAAGCCTTTCATGGGCCATTGAGGAATTTTACTCAAATGAACAGACTCGCACAGGCACACGCACACACAGAGATTTCTGACCACCTTAAGTATCAGCGGCTGGTATCGTCGGACTACTAAATGAGGACCCAATACCTTCAAATAAGGCCGGTATCGGCTGAATAACGATACTTGGTATGGGCACTGGCCCAATTGAACACAACATAGAATGTACATGGAAGGACTATCGTCGTCCAATTTTGAAATCTTGGAAGAAGACAAACAAAAAACAAAAGAATGCAAAAGACTGACAAATGGGCTCCTGTGTGCTCGTCTAAGCCCAAATTAGAGTACAGTCCAGACCTCCACGATGGCAAAATAACTCAAGCCCATGCCCACGACCGGCATACGACAGAATTTTTGCCATTAAATTTCCATTCTTCACCGTAAAATGGAAGCAAGCGCCTGATCTAACGCGAGCCCCTCCTCAATGCAATCATCTCTTCCCCGTGACCTCCCCGGTTGAGGTAACAATGAGCGATGTGCTTTGAAACCACATTCCGCCGACGTATTCAATGTGTGTGCTGTTGCTATAAACGGACCTCAAACACCATATACGCTCGGTGAACCATGTTCGCAAACAGGTGCGGCAGTGCCACTGCTGACCCCCATGCCCCCCTACCACGCGCGCGCGCACACACACACAAAGCGGTGACAGAATGGGAACACGTGGAGGAAGAGTGGCCTGAACATACTAATTCTGAATCAAACACCCTCCCACACGGAGTCACGGTGTCAGAATTAAGGACGAGGCGGCGAAGCACACGTCGGGAGGAGGCGATGCTGCCTTCAAAGCGGCGTGGGGAGAAAAAACATGAGCGTTTGTCTCGTTGTCAAATCGCCTGATTTCTTTGTAAAGATAATAAACTGCGTCTTCACGTACTTGTTTCAGCTATTCTCAATCGGAACAAGTCATTTTCCAGCCTTAACATCCGTCTAAGGCATTTCAAGTCACATGTTGGCATGAAGCCATTCAATTTTGTGTTGTTGTGGTTGTTTTGTTTTGCACCAAATATAAACCAAACGATTTGGTTTCACGACACAACAATGATTCAGTAATTTGCGTAACATGTCAGTTTGACAGTCAAACTCAACCGGAAGTTGACCAACAGCTCGGAGCAAGCACGCTGTGCCTCTTTTTCGGAGGACCTTGCTTAGGCTAAAGAAAAAAAGAAAAACAAATACCCGAACAACTCATTTAATGTGGACCCAAACCTATGACGCTCTATTTCAACAGTCTTTATACTGCACACGTGCATGTTATTTGGTATGGTCTGCAGGCCTGCGCATCTTGTAAGCTGACATTTCTGCAAGCTTGATCAATGCGAAATTGCTCCCCATTTTCACCTCCTATTATTCTTTCTTCCCGACCGACACCCAGTAGAAGACTCTTCTACAGTCAATTGCTCCACACGCTTGTTAACGACGTGGTTCGCCGTTTACAACGAAGAAGCGGCAGGCCTATTACGTAACGTTTATTCACTTTTAATAGAAGCGAGAGCGATGCGAACGAAGATGAAGAAGAAAGCCTTGGAGGACTTGTACAGGAATGATCTCAGAGTTGCTCCATCAAAGAAAAAAAATGAGGCAATTGGAAAAAAGGTGAAGTGCAAGTCTGACTTCAGGGATGACCTTGGATTAGGTGCGTTTGTTTCCACGATCACAGACGAAACGTTTGTTTCACATGCACAAGTTAAGTTCAATACTTGAAAAGCAACTTGCGACCATTGAATTACCGATCACGCGCTTTCGGCTGAGCACGCCCTGATTATTGGAGTCTGGAGGGCTGATGAGCTCCAAAACGGGCCTCATCGACCGAGCGCGTCTGTGATTAAGGCACGCGGGGAAGGCCTTTTAAACACGGCAATCAAGGAAGCACAACAACCGGTGCCTCGTCAAGGCGGACGCTCACGAATTTGTGAAGGATGACAAAACCGATATCTGCTCGACTGAATACAATCATTTAAACGTGACGTCTCCGAATACTTATTAGTTTTTTGACACATCGACAAATTCCCAAATCACACTTGAATGCGTTGTTGGAAGCTTGTAAGGAAACGCTTCACCGTTTAGCCGCGTTTAAAATCAAGATGTGCACCAAAAGTTCAAGTGCCTCATCTAGTGGTCGACAGTAGAATCACACGTTGACGTTCAGTCATTTTCAAACATAACCTGATAAAAAAAAAAAAAATTAAAAAAAAACTGTGGCGGCGAGATTCAGCTATTTGGTTGTTCGTGATAACATTTGATGAAAGCATGTCACAGATATCAAGATGATATTAAGACACCCGGTAATATATTTTTTTTGTTGGTTTTGAAGCATGTCACAGATATCAAGATGATATTAAGACACACAGGAGGAAAAAAATCCATGCTTACCTAAATCATTCACTCTTTTTGCCGATCCTTACAAAGGCTGGTTTTCTGCCATTCCAAAACAAACCTGCAAATGGATCATTTTACTTGACTGTTGCAGTAATGAATTAAATTGACGTTAACGAGAAAGACTTACCCGCGAGCCGTGAAGCTTGGAAGTTGGAAAGCTGATCTGTGTGCTAACATGCTGTTTACTACATCATCAGAACAGAAAAAGTAGACAGCGTATGGCGATTTTAAGATGTTTATTTAAAAAATAAAATAGAAAAACATACATAAAAAAGTCCAGAAAAACAGCCCCGAAACAAAAGCTGGCCGAGTGGTTTCTGGCTCACAATAAATCAGCCGTGTTGAAAAAAAAAAAGGGGGGCGGGGGGCGTTGGTTTATGTTGCACCTTCATGTACATTGTAAGGGCAGAACTTTTATCGTTGCTTCACTTCAGAACTCGAAAACTGAAGCAAGGAGTGAACACTGACATGTTTCCACAAGAGAAGATACTGCATGAAGATATTTGGCGACTCTGACCCAGTCCAACAAACTGCCCAGTGCTTATTTCCAGGGCCCAACCGATGATGTCATCTGATATTAGGCCTTTTCAAAATAATAATTGGCTGCAATTTTGCCCTTGAAACACCGAAATCATTTTACAGTTGGTACGGGCGAGAAGTAAAGGAAAAGCATAGCAGACAGCTGATATTTTGTGTCAATTACATCGTTCTCCACCCTCTTACATTTTATCCCGAAATAAGTATAAATATGTTATTGTGACTCATCGCTTTGTAGTTTTAAGTGTTAAGGGACCAAAATGTATATCATGTCATATTCCATGATGTATGATTGAATAAAATAATACATATTTATTTATTACATAATTGGACGATTAATCAGATTTCTTATTTTTCTTCCAAAGACAGAAAATTGACATTGGCCATTTCGTTGTTGCTTCCTCATAAAAGTAGACGCGGTTTTAAAAAAAAAAAGTATTTGATAACTTTAGAATGGGGCTTGTAATCGAATGCAATCATAAAAGATTTTTAAAAGACGGCGGCCGAGTGCATGATTCAAATTTGGGTGAGAATTTCTACGGGTGAGTGTTACCGATCAACTTATGAGCTCCCTTGTCGAACCATTCATCTGGGGGTCGAATGGGGGCTCGGGCGGGCAGTTGTGAGTGGCGGGTGAGAGTTGCCAGGCGCTTTTGCCCGTGGAGAAAAGCAAGAAAAAGAAGAAAAGTTAAAATCGCCTAACAGCAGTGAACATCAACATCGTGGAAAAAGGCGCATCGATGCTGCACGGACAGAGGGCAAGTCGCTCTCTGGGCGCAGCCTGTTTTGACTCCAAAACCGTCCCGAGATGTTCAACGAGGACTTAACTAGGTCACACACGCACGCACTTCACAGACTCGGAGCCCAAACGCGGATGATAAAATTCCCCTACTCCTTACATTTGGCAGATATGTGTACAAAACTAGAATTTTGGGACATCTCGGGAGTTTCATACTAATGTAAGAGTCGGGGGATGTGGTTCACCAACAAACACATTCACACGAATATCAATGGACTTCTGTCCAGTCCATTTGAGCCTTGTCCATCTTCCGCAGGGGAGGAAAAACAACAACCCTCGACTGCACAAAACGTGACGCGATAATTGGAGTAACCCACTTGCATAGAAATAACACGGGTGAGCGTTTGTAGTGTTGATGGCGAGTCACAGCCGTTTGCGCCGTCCTCTCTGTGAGTGTGCGTGCAGACACACACACTCACACACTCGAGTACACAGCGAGTAAACACTAAGAAAGGCATCGCAAACAATTAGGGGAAGTACCTGGCGATCAAATATACACAAGATTCCTGAATGGAATCAAAACAGAATTCCCTTTAAACTCGGGTCCTTGCATTTTTTTTTTGGGGAAGCCCCTTACCGCTGAGCACGTTCTGGTGCTAGCCACAGTCACTCTCACAAGTCGGTCTCCATCGTTCGAACCGATTTTGACAATTCCCCCAACTTGGAAAAAACAGTAAAGAAGGGGAAGAAGGCAGTGACGGAAAAAATATTGCAGCAACAGAGTCCACGAAAAGACGCGAGACAATCTTGAGGTTGCAAAAGCCAAAACACAATGACATCCTCTCACCGAGATCTGATCGCAGGATGCCATTTTCCTGCCACTCGCCTCCAGGATGAGAGAGAGAAGTTCCTCGAGGAGCAACAGACTCACCTCGTCTCGGAGGGGAAAACATGAGGCTGACCGAAGTAAGAGGAGGGGTCTTGGACCTGGGCTCCTTCTCACCACAAATACCTCAAAGGTTCTGTAAACAGAATGTAAAAACTCTACAAAAATAAAATAAACTGTATAAAAAAATGCCTTTGACATATACACACAAAATTAAATAAGCATTTAAGATCCAAAAAGAAAAAAAAGGTATTGCACAAAACTGAGGAGGGGGGGGAAATGTAGGCCAACCGCAGCTCTCATCAGCATCGTTCCAAAAACCAATCAAGACATGAGCTCTGGACAGAGCCAGAACCCAAGAAAGCAAAAGTACTGACCGCAACATAATACTGAAACGCTACAAGGCCGTGAACAAAAGGTCACGCTGAAGCGGAAGCGCAGCTGCGGGCTGCTCCATGTCGCGGTCGCGCCGGTCGATCCAAAAAGACTGGTCTCCGTGAGGGGGGGGCGGGGTGGTGAGGGGGGCACGACCGGCCTCTATCTGCTGGGGCTGACCGGTAGGCTGTCCCTCTTCCGGCGTCGCCAAGTGTTCCGGTGGTGCTGCGCGTGCGAGTGAGCGTGTCCGCGCGAGGTCGCAACCAGGTTGGTGATGAGCGGCGGGTTGTGCAAGACCTTCATGTTGAATTTGACGGCGTTCTGAGGACGACAGACGGGGAGAAGTGTCATTTAGTCAGCTCGTTTACATGACAACACAAGAATAATTGCCCACTCAAACGAGGATTTTTAAATGCGATGTGAACCCCTTCATGCTTCGCTGGGCCAACTTTTGTGCTCAAGCGCCACATTCGATTTTTAAAATGGAGATATGGGCCCACAAAATAAAACTGTTTCAATGTGTACCTAATAGAGTTTATTTCAAGAAAGAATCCTCTCTTATTTGCAACGATAAACCATGCAGCGGTCAAAGTCACATCGCAGCAACACTGCGAATGTCCCGATGGATGTTATGTTGACCTCATGCTGGCCAGGTGGCAGCTTGTTGTCAACTCAGGAGACCAAGAAGAGATGAGCGGTGGCGTTTAGCGGGGTTTCTCCAGTCTCAAATTGAGATCAGTGAGATCCATTCTGATGGCTCGCACGGGTACGTGGGCCGCATCCGAAACCGGCTCATTCAAACACAATTTCTGTGACATATTTTTGCGATTCAGCATCCGCATATTGGACAATGGCTGTTTTTTTTTGGAACCTCTGTTATTTTCTGAAGAATTCATCTTTTTCTGTTCTATTACTCCATTTTTTTGTTTTTTGGTGTTGCTTTGACGCCATCTGTTGGCATCTTGGTATCAGCGAAGTATGTTGAAGTGAGTTGAGGGGTTTCATGCGGACAGTGGCATGTTGCGGGCAACTTGTGGCATCTGTTGACAGTTACAAACATTTTTGAAGCGAGATCAATTGTGCGCAGATTTTCACGATTCGCCTTAAAAATACTTGCTTATCTTCTGAAACCTAAAACATATGGCTCGTGTAATGTCCCTTTAAAATATCAATGCATACAAATTTGGCATCTCTGAATGCCCTAAAAAAAAGTTTTTAAAAACACACAAGAGTGCAATGAAGCACACTAGAAGGGGGTCAGATAGAACGAGCTGGAGAAAACGGTTGCGTGTGCGCCGAGCCTACCTTATGTGCGTGGCCGGAGTGGGGGCTGGGCAGAGGCTGGGGACTGGAAGTGGCGGGGGCATGGGCTGGGGGGTGCATGTGGAAGAAGGCGGGGAGACCGGTGTCGATACACACCTGTCTGCCGGGTATGGGGTGAATTGTGAGAGCCCCGGGGAGAGAGGCGCGAGCCTGCCGAAGAAGAAGAAGATTTCAAAAGGACTTGCCGCCTTCCAGAACGCAACAAACGGCACCGCCGTATTGTTGTTTTTTGGCTGCACGTCTACCTGCGAGCCAGGAGGCAAGACCAGATGGTGCCCCGCCGCCATTGCTGGTTTGGCGGTGCCCATGGTGAATCCCTGTGGAAAAGCCAGGCCCAACCGCGGGAATGACGCGTAGGGCGGGAGAGGGGGCGGAGGCGCCGGACAGGGCGGCGCTGAATCCGAGTCCTGAAGAATGGGCACAAAAACGAGGAGATCAAGTGGATGAAGCGTTGATTGAGCATGAGGGGGGCAAAGTCAGGCAGTTGAGCGTGAAAGACAGCGCTTGGTACTTTTTCTTCCGGATGTTCGTGACATTTAAAACAGAGCGAGCGTTGTTGTCGTTCGGTGAAGTTTTCGCATGACAGCTGGAGAAACGTTGACAACTTTCCTGCGGTATTTCTGGTATTTGTCCAGGCATTCTCCACGCAGATGGAGATGCTCTGAGACACGCACGACCAGCTGTTGTCTCTCGCCTCTTTTGGAACGAGTGCGAAGCACCAGCGGGGATTCCTCCAGCAAAGCGCAACACGCAAACGTAGCGACGAGAATGCAAGGCCGGCGTCAAAGCCGAGTCGAAGAGGAGGAAAGACAGGCTTCCGTTGCAGCTATCATCAAGGGAAAGGTCCGAGTCATCGGCAAATAAAACAGAGCGGCTCGGCAGTCCTGCTCATGTTGCCGGCTGCAGCTTGCAAGACAGCGCTGTGGACAGAGGTTGTTTCTGAGCGGGAAGAAGGGAGCTTCGATGACAATGTTTGTCAATGAGAGCTGGAAGCCATCTTTACGATGTCTCTGCACACTGGACTCGGAAACGTTCGCTGTGGGAATTTGGTTCTCTTCCGACAAAACTGTGTACATTCCGCCATCTGCTCCGTATGCGACGGCGTGTGATCGAAATCGTACAGCTGTTGCCAGGTTACAGAGCCTCCGCCCAAAGGCTCTTACCGGCCTCGCTGGGGATTTTAATCACTGCGGGCTCGGCTCGCTACGAACCGCTTTTGACCAATATGTCCACTCCGCGACAAAACTCTCGGATGGAAACACCAAGGATGCATACAATCCTTCAGCCCGCTCGGTTTATTGAACCCCAATCTCAAACCTTTGACATCTCATGATGTTTCTATCATTCAAAGGCTTCTTGTGAGCACCAAAGGGTCGCAAGAGTGGAAAACGGATGACCTTCCGGACTGTATGCCAGGATAGATTCAATTCTGTGGGCACGTGATCATTCCAGCCGGGACTGAGACTTGCAAGGAGCGACTGAATTGAAAGAGGTGGGCAATCAGAACTGGTGATAAGGCAGCGATGAGAACGAGTGAGGTCGAGGAGTCCTCCTGTCGTCAACTGGAGAGCAACGTGAAAGGTAGCAGGAAGATCAAAACAAAAGCCTGTCGACAGCGGAGGGAGGCTCTTGTACTTTTTCAACAGGTTGAGCTCTGGAGCCCCTGTTGCTCATCCTCACCACGCTTTGACCCTCTGCTCAGTCTCCACGCCACCCCGACCGATACCGATGACAACCACGAAACACCCTCATCCCGCTCTGGATTAACGCACCCTTCACATAACAGTGACGGCGAAACATGCGAGAAGGAAGCTGGAGCGAATGACACCAAAACAAGACCGCAGGACCCGATCGCGTCCGCGCTCGGCACCTGAAGTTACTCACGTTGTCTGATCCAGAGAGCGAGGAGACAGAGGAGGCGGATGAGTGCTGCTGCGGACTGGAGATGGACATGGGCGAGTCGGCGCTCTGGGGGGACACCGAGTCCCTCTGCGGTTCCTCTGACCCCGCGCCGTTGTCAACCGCGCAGCTGGGGTCCCGGTCGGAAAGCGGCTCCTTGGGAGTCGGCGCTAGAGATGCGCAGGGAAGGAATTTTTTTTCATGGTTTGTCGTTCACAGCTCTGCCATATCAAAATTTGGGGGTTTTAAATGTATACGTGTCGGAATTGAGAGTTAGCAGAGTTCTATAAGTAAGAGTTTTTCCAAAGCATAGTTACCGTAACATGGATGCAAATTCTGCGAACTCATCTATGGTGTTCTCCAGTATGTTCGTGTTAAGCTAGCAGACTTTTGTTAAGTGATTCTTATACGCACGCCTCTTATTTGGAGAACTGTCGATGCTTCTTTTTCAGTCCCTCCTCATGCTGTCAAATAAGTCTCACATTTTTCTGGGACAGCGAAAAGGCACTACGGATCAGAATAATATCAAACACGTTTTGATACGTTTAAAGTGTGTGGGAGAGATAAAACTACTCAAACATCCCCCCTGCCCTCCCTCCGTGACAAACAAAGTTTCGCTGCACCACAAATGGGACAAAAGGCAGATGTGAAGAATTCTACCTGTGTTATCCGCTCGAGCCACATCCCTGCCACCCCACTTTTTGATGATCCACTCTCTGTAGTCGATCACTTCCTGGGTCAACCTGATGATTCTTCCTAAGGTGCTGCAAACAGGAACAGGAGAACGGTCTCAGCGGAGTCCCGGCGTGGTGAACCACAACGCGATCCCGCGTGCCGAGGCTTCCGACCTTTCCGAGTCTTTGTTGGGATACGATCGGGCGAGCGGTGACACGGCGTGGCTGAGGACAGTGTAGGCGTAGTCAAACACCTGCTTGACGTGCATGGCGCCATAGGAACCCCTGCCCACATCGTTGCCTGCGCGGGAAATTGCAATACGATGCAATGTTGTCTTTGCGGCGGTTTTAGTCCAGCGAGTCTCACTCTTGCACATACCTGGGAGCAACGGATCTTCGATGCAAAGCATGGACGGCCTGTAACCGTTGGTCATGGCCATGTCGTCTTTGGCAATGTATGCGCCTCCGTTTTTGATGCGAATCCCCGTTTTCAAGTAGTTAAAATGGCGACCGTACAACTCAAAAAACTCGATCAGCAGGATGCCCAAGTTCCCGCTGGGGTTCCTGGCATCGATGCGAGGATGAAGCTGAGGAAAGGCGCGTATCGCGAGTGCTGTTTACAGGGCCAAATCAGATTGATCCATTTGGAGTAGAAGCTCGCGAGTACCTGCAAGAAGCTGATGACCATGAGGATGAGGGAGTAGGAGCTTATTCCGCCTGTGAAGACTTCATTCAGGTCTCTCTGCAGCAAGAACTGCTTCAGCACAAAGATCAGGTAAGGCAGCACCGGGTACTTCTGAAAGTGGACAGGGAAATACACCAGTGTTGGGAATATGTTCAGGTTATCACCGTGGTGAATTGTTTGGGCAAAATATGATGGACTGGGCTCTCGTGTTCATGATCCAGGGTTCGACATCAATGGCGGCTCGATGGCCCCGGGCCAGCACAGCACCGTCTTGGCCCAATATGTACCTTACAAATGCTGGTCTGACCGGGCCAGTAAAAATATGTTCAATAACATGATGAAATATGATCGACCAGCCGCCGCAGCAGCAGACGCGCAATGATCGGGTTGATCGACGGTGCGGTGTGAAAAGGCTTTTCGTGCTTTTTCCACACCCACGTTTATATCAATCTATCTACAGGGCTCCCAAGAAGTGTTAGAATGCATAAATGTGTGAAAAGCCCAGCAGGCCTGTAGACAGAAATGACAAATATTCATGTTCGTTTTCCGATTGAGAAGGCTGCAAAAGCCTGTGGCGCTCTGCGTGTGTCTATGGCTTGGCTGACTTTTTTCAAAGAGGCTTGAAAGAGGTGAGAACAAAACTGGAAGCCGCCTCCTCCGCTATCCGCCCGACGATACGACTGCAAGCACGGCCTCACTCCCTCGCACATTAACGACCGCGCTTGCAGGCGTTTGATCGAGCGCGGCCGCCAGCGGCGGGCTTTCAAGCCGCGACACGCAATCCCGGCAGAACGGCGACGTAACATGAACAGACGAACAAAGGCCGAAGGATGACATCTCGCCGGAAGATCGGCACCTGGAATTCCTGGTTTGTGTTGCTTTAAACGGGCATGACTAAAGCGGGCAGACATCCACCCTCAGGTGGAGACGCCTTCAGAGTCGATTAAGCAGCAACCTTGCCGACACGGACAAAATCTGGGGCTGCTTCCAGGATGAAGCAGAGCGAGGCAAGTGTAATGCTTTGAACTGTTGGCCGGCCACAATTCACATGGGGGAATTTCCAAAGTTCTATATTTAGATGCCACTCTGAAACAGTAATTATGCGACTCTACTGGCGCTTGGTTTGGTGCTCTACGTCTGCATGACCCCCTCTGCCGCTCTCTTCCATTCTTCATCTGCACGGCTTGCTTCGAACTGGCATTTATTTCTTGGTGCGGCGGAACGTCCGGAGTCAAATTCCCGTCAAGTGGTACAATTTGGGATTTCAACCAGATTTTCTGGAAAAATCGGCCTCAAAAGTCAACAAGTAAAGTTGGGAGCTCAAAATGTTTGTCAGCAAATCTCATGAGACTTGGTCTTGCTAGTGTGTTTTTTTTTTTTTGTGATGCCGTGAGTGACGGCAATGAGGTCAACGATCAATAGTGATTTACATAAAGGGAGAAATGGAATTTACGGCAAAAATGCAAGGAAAGGGGTCTGGCTGCTCAGTAAACAATGTGACCGCATCTCACCTGAAGACAATCTTGAATGAAGCTCGCCGCCTTGACGCCAGTCTCAACGTTGAAGCTGATGTCTACTTTCACCTCAGTCTCCTGGTCTGTAAGCTTGATGATTGGCACCTGGAAGGGACCGCGGTGGGCCAAAGTATAGTGGCAATAATTAGACGTCTCAACCAATCAAGAGACCAAAGGAGTCAAATGTATAGATGTCCGTTTTCAAAAGTAGGGAGGAAAAGGAAAAAGAAAAATGCCAGCGTCCAAAACTACAATGCGTCAAATACAGAAAGAGCACGGTGCGTCGTATGCTCGTGAAAAAAACGGAACGTGAAAACAGTTCACGCTTCGGTGTTAGGTGAGAGGGCAACGCTTCCTTGTCTTCTCTTGACACCAACTCCTCTCGTCAGCCATTGGCGCAAAATTACCTGTGAGCAGGCCCGCCCTCTTGCAACCAGATGGGGGACACCGATTGCGTCTGCTAGTTTAGTGCACCTCTTCTCCGCTCCTCCTCTCAAAGAGATAAAGGAGGGATGGAGCCAAAGCTTTACATTTCTGGCTGACCACTTCAAGTCCCAAAAAGTTTCCCCCCCCCCCCCCCCCGGGCGCATAAGAAGGAGCGCCAAGTTGCGGCAGAGCTTCTTTCACTTCCCCGCAACGTTTCTCATTAAAGGAGGCGCTTGTGCTTCTGCGACGTGAAAATGTTTGAAAAGAGCAGCAAATCATTTGGTTCCATGACTCCGGTTTGAATCACATCAGCACACCGGGGAAAGAACGCCTCACGTGATTGTTTGCTTCAAAATGGCAGAATACTCACCGTAGCTTTGTCCAGCACTTTGATGGAGAAGGACTCGGCAACATTGTGCTTGCGAAGAGCCTGCTCCAAGTCTTGCAGCGGGGGGCGCTCCCACTTCCCAAACACCACCAAGTCAATGTCGCTAAGGTGGATGGGGGGGGGGTCACATTCCAAGTCAAAACAACGCATGGAAAAACACACAGGGTTGAGAATGCCTCATTGACAGATTCATGCGCAAGTCTCTCTTGCCTCGTTGGAAGGTACAGTCCTGTGCTGAAGCTGCCAAATATTTGGACCTACAAATGCAGAAACAGGGGGGGGGGGGGATTAAAATTAAAGCTCCCTCTAGTTCTGTTGCCGCCTGTTGACAGACAGCCCATGTAAGTGGACCCATCAATCTATCCTACACAGAGAGAAAGAAACTGGTCTTGTTTTGAAGGACCAGAGCTAAACCAGCGGCCAAAATCGGTTGCCTTAAAAAACAACATTCAACACTTTCATTGTAACGTCGCTATTGCATAACAGCCCCATATGCGGCGATGATTTACAGTCCATAATATCCATCTGAAATGTCCACACACTGCGGGGACAATGCATTTCCGGGTTCCGCTTCGGAGCGGGCCGACTGTGCCAAGTGGAGAGCGCTGCCAAGCCAAGCAAACAATGGCGAGGAGAGAAATGGCTGCGTTTCAGGGCCGCGAGAACCGGCTCTCCAAAAGGGGGAGGCTGAGTGGATCTCTTTCCTTTTTACGTCTGGGAAATACGACGAGACGGTAAAAGCAAAAAGACAGAGCACGATGGATGACCAGGGTGCAAATCAGACGACCGATAAGGAGCTCCGCCTGACAGGACACTTACTGTATGTCAACGAACGAAATAGTGTGACTTGTTTGGATTTCCTTTGAACAAAAACTCGACGGGGAATTGTAACTTACATCTGCGGTGGGCCACAGCTCCTTGATGACCCTTTCTATCCGGCTCACCACCTCTTTCCTCATTGCGGCCTCCTCGGGCCGTGGAGACAAGAAGTTGTAGAAGTCCATCACCTCCTCGTGGAGTCTGAGCAAAAAAAAAAAAAAGAAAGACAACAAGCATTTATTGACTGTTTGTGCTGACACACAACAACAGACCCACGCAACTGTACCATAGTGGTCGAATTTGGAATTAAACGGCAATTTTATGGGACAGTCTCCCTCCACAATCAAAAATGAGATTCTGACCATGAACTGGTGTTAGTTCAGCTGCGCCGTTTTTTGCCTCTTGGTGGATTTTTGCGTTACGCGATAGCATTAAGCAAAGGGCCTCACAAAACCGAACAGTGGAATATTTTTGGTCTGTGACATACATTTGATACTATCTCGACTGGCGCTAAAGAAGTCAAAACAATCATTGAAATTGTGGATTTTCAAAATAACATTTACCACAACAATTTCAATCTTTTCTGGCTGTTTTGTTGTTTCCTCCCCCAGTGTGTATTTTAGGTCACTATTTTGGTTAACCCCCCAACACAATAGGGACATTGTGCAGCAAAACCTGTCACCCACAATCTCTAGATCCAAATGATACATTTGCATTTGTCAAAAACAGAACCAGTATGACGCAAACACATTTGCACTTGTACAGCCCTTGAGTTTAAAACATCAGGAGTACACTCATCAATATGTATTGAAAAAGGATGCTTTCCTGACAAACCGTTGCCAACAAAACAACCAACGATTTTAAAACAGAAAGCAACGTTCTCTAAGATGACCACACTTAAAGACCGACACTTGTACAGCCCTTGAGTTTAAAACATCAGGAGTGCACTCATCAACTCGTCAATATGTAATGAAAAAGTATGCTTTCCTGACAAACCATTGCCAACAAAACAACCAACGATTTTAAAACGGAAAGCAACGTTCTTATAGCCGGACTAAGATGACCACATTTAAAGACCGGTATTTATGTCTTTAGGCATGATGTGAGAATTTTTCCCCCATGTAATAACATCTGATCGGCATAAACCGTAGCAAGCACGTGAGGTGAATCGAGGACATTCCCATCGTAACCGCGAGTACGACAAAACTGCACTTGACCAATTTCAGGACGTTTGTGCGCTGGAACCTCCAAAGCCCACCAATGTTTTCAGAGCAAAATACGCCTTGGTGTCAGATTGCGGACACGGAAGTGCCATAATGCGTGGCCTCGGCATATCATGGGAGCCTTCGGTGCACTTCAGCAATATTCATTGTAGTCGACTGTGCCATTTATTTATTTTTTCTACGTGCAATGATCGAGATGATCCTTATCATCAGATTTCCTTATGCCCGCGTGACAGCTGATTTGTTCCGAATGTTGACCGGCATCACACAACGGATGGCGGTCGCCTTTGGAGGTGGCGCAAGCACAACGAGAACATTTCTTAGTGAGCAGTCAAATTCCGAGGAACAGTGGGACTCTGTTTCCACCCCAGTGGCCGCTCATTTTTTTCTAAGAATGCATGCCATGGTGTCAGTGTGAAATACGGAACAGGGGGACTGTCACAATCAATTACTAAAGCCCTGCAGGACATTCAGTGGGCCCATGTGCCCGCGCCTTGGTGAAAACATTCTGTTAGCCAGCCAGACAGACAGCCATGCACAGATAACCAGTGGTCGGACAGAGGAGCGTTAGCGCACGTCAAATATCTTCTCGTTCCACGACGGAACAACGACATTACAAATAGCGCAAAAGCAAATCGAAAATGTACCCCTGAAGGCAACCCAACACGTGTGATACGGTGTTCTGCTCACACAGTGCGTGCGACTTGGTAATGAAAGGGAAGCGCGTGATGGTTAAATTAAGTTGCCCTGCCACTGTTTTATTTTTATAACTTGTAGTCTTCTCAAGAAGCAGTCTTGTATTGCCTTTTGCTGACCTTAGATTTGCAGTTATCACACAGATGTAACATGACATCGTACGTGTGTATCCAACAGTCTCCATTTGTCTTCATCTCATATTTGCTCTTGGTCTGTCATCCAAGCACGCCTTTTAACTAGTGGTTGAACCGAGACGCCGCAAAACTCACGTGCCTTGTGTAACAGGCCAGATTTCTTCAATGTGGGTCAGGACTATTTGAAAGACACGCACTTGGATGTTAAGATGTCAGTAATGACGAGTTGTTCCTCAAAATCTGGTTATATTTGAATGAAATGTAGGCCATGGTTAAGAAAGGTTTGTTTTGGAACAAAACGTGGTAGAAATAAAACATTTTCATCCCGACTGCATGACGGTAGGCCGACTTGGTCCGTGTGAGAAAACCAATTGCGTAGTTTAACTCCGGAGTCTCGAACTACTAACGATTGACTTGAACTTGTGATTCAAGTAAGACGCGAGAATTATACTGTCTTATATCGAAAACTGTTCGTTTTAGAGCGTGAGCGTCTGCGCGTGCGTGAGAGAACTTTTCAACTCCAATATGTCACCGTTCCGCAGCTAGCGTAAGCCGCCGACGCGAGTCAGCAAAACGCCCACGCCACTCTCGCCGCGTACGGGCCTATTCAAACTCGAGAAGCAGTACTGCCTGCATACCTGGCCGAGTTCGGAACGTAAACAAAAACCCAAAAACAGTGTTTAATTTACCCGAGAACTCCCGGGTTATACTTTCTCGTCTTCCAGGGCGTCCAAGTGCTCGCATCGTTGCCGTTAGTACAATTTGAAAGCAAGTAATTGACCCCGTAAGTGCTGGCCTTATTGTCACTTTTCGTCCGGTCGGGGTGAAGATGATGGTGGTGATGGCGATGAGGGTGAGAGTGGTTCCCGGGTAAGGAAGGAGCCACCTGGTGATTTTGAGCGCACAACTGCTGCAAATTGAGCACGTGACGGCTGTGACGGAGGAGCTGTTGGTGGTACTGGTTGTTGTCCGTGCTGTCACCCGGCGCGTAAAGCAGGCCGACGTTTTGATTCCCGGCCGCGGTTCTTTCCGGCGGGCAGCCGCAGGGGGGACTGTCCGCCGCGCGGGATTCCAGAGAGGACGACCCAGCCTTCGGGGACGTTGCCTTGCCTTCGCCCGCGTCGGAGGCAGGGGCGAAAAAGTTGGAGAGGGCCATGCCCAGCGAGGTTATCGCGGCGTCGTTCACACAGTTCGAGCCGCCGCCGTTCACGATGCTGCGATGGCCGCTGTCTCCGCCGCCGCCGCCGCTGCCCAGGCTCTTGTTCGACACCGCGGCATTTTTCAACACGTCCAGCGCGACGTAGTTGACACACTGGTTGTGGACGTGCTGAGCGGAGAGCGTCCGTACTCCCTGAGACGTTTCCCAGACGTGCATCCATAAGGCGTTCGCCGGTCCTTTCTGTTCGGGCTGAATCCAAGCCACCCTCGGATCCATTCAACTTGGTTCTCCGGTGACCCCCCCCTCCCTCGTTGGGTAGAACGCCAGCGAGCCCGTCGTGATGCCGCGTGCCGAGCCGAGATATGTCCCTACGGCGTCTCGGGGAGCATGGAAATTACGCGTGAACCCTCGGTAGGAACATGGGGAAAGTAGCTCCCGCTACGCCGCTAGGTAGGGGGAAACGCAGGCTGGTTTCTTTTGGGATTCAATATGGCGTATTCTCTTCCAACCTTCACGCATGCGCCTCGTGGCTGATCCTTATTCAACTACCACTGCGCCCACTCCTTTGGAAGCCCTCACGAGGCCAAACGGGTTACTGCATCCAAATTTGACGATTACGGTACATAAAAAAAAAAAATACATTTAAAAGAATCTATTAAAACGTTTTGTTTCCACATCCACTTTAAGAATACGATTCCAAATAGCATTTTAATGGAAACGTTTTAAAAATGACAAAAATGGACCTATGGGTCTTTCGCAGGACAGTGACAATATGTATTTTTGATCATTCATGTTTATTCATTTGATCTTTTTCTATTCACACTTTATTTATCATTAGTTTTTAATTATTTTATGTATTTATGAAAAATAAATGCACAACGTATTATCAATAATCAACATACATGCAGTATTTGTTTTTATGAATTAGACACTAACATTTGAAAATTATAGAGGAGTTATACAAAAAGTATATTTTTTATCTTCATGCAGGCAGTCTTTACAATTTCAAATCATGTAGAATCTGCTGCACTTCAACCTACCAAAAGCCAAAGGCTCAAAATGTCGAACTGTAAAAAAGAAAAAAAAATCTCAGGCAGACATACTGTAACTCACAACCTAAAGCACATGAAGGATGATGGAATATAAAATACGTATGTGGGTCATAATCCCAACCTCTTTATATGCTGCTCGCGTACACTGGAGGCCGCCCGGTGACTATAAACTGAAATACTGAAATAATCAGATTTCTCGGTAGCTCCGTTCTAACACGTCCACGCACAGCGCATCGCAAACCCACAGTAACGGCCATCTCAACGGCCTGCCTGCGAGTTTTACGCCTGGAATGTACGACTGAGGCGAGCCATAAAGCAGCACCTCCAAGGAAGTACAGTATAATGTACACCATAAAGGGGGAGTGAAGGAGGAAGCCTCTTGCATAATGCCGACACGCAACCCCGCTGCTCACGTGTAGCATGTGACCGAGTCGATGCAAAATAAATAAAAAAAAAAATCCTGAAGCAATGTGTCTATCTTCGAACATGCTCGTGCAAGCCTGCATACGGCTGCTCACTCCCACGAAGCAAATAGAAGCTCGCTTTCTCCGATCTTGAGCTCAATCTCACATTGCAGCGTGCGCGGGTATCAAGAGCAGCAGGTTACGAGTCTTTCCCTGGATGTGGTTCGCAAAAGGCTGCTTCGCGTCTGTCTCACTGTCATCGTTTCTGGGATGACCCTCATCGGTGAGGGCCAGACCGCATCTGGCAGACGCAACACAGGAGAGCATCTTCAACAACATGCACTGCGAAACCCTCTTTCTGCCGTGCGTGGGAAATGAACTAATATGCTCCTCTTCGATCATGTCGGCGATGCGGTGTGTACAAGTATGAATACTGCATTTGGACGTCAAAGCACGAACCGCACAATTGCCGGAGTCAATCGCTCCCTTTGCGCCTGAAGACACGTCAGGAGTAATATTGGTCCTGTACTACATCGCCACAAAAAGAAAATGGCCTCATTGACATTGACATGAAGGATATTTCACACCCCCTTTTTTCCTTATTCCACTCACCAACTCCGTCCATGTGTACAAATGATAAAGCACATTTATTTCAAATACGTTGCATTCAAAAAATAGATCATTCATAATAACATGAAGTAGGCAAAAAAAGCAAGGGACACACATAACGACAATTGCCGTACTTGTTCTCAGTCACGTTTCGGGGGGTGTGGGGGAGGGGTTGTGTCACGTTTCAAAAATTGGTTAAAATGTTAAAAATGTGCGCGTGTGTTTGTTATTGCTCAAGACGGTGGCTTGAAGTATTTGCCCTCTGTTGACCCGAGTAAAGATTTGCAGGGGGAAAAAAAATGCGAATGGCGCTTGCTGCGGGCACACTGTGGACGCTCAAGCTTCAGTTTACATTTCGCTCAGTCCTGCCGCCGCCTAAAAGGTCACTTGTACGTTTTCATCGAAATGAAAAATGCAACTCCCGTTGTGCTTTTCTCCAGCATAAGTCTCCACCTTTCCTCTTGTAATCCGACACAATTTATTGTCATTTAGGAACCTGCTGCACGATCCCTTTTAACTCTGCAGCGGCCTCTCATAAAACATCCACGATTGCCAGCGCCAACTTCGACGCCGTTCATTTCAGGCGCGGCTGAGTGATTGAGGGCAATACCCGCCCCACCCCCCCTCCCCGTTCGGGCTCCGTTTGTGGCACGGAATCCAAGAACGGACGAGCCTGCTATGGTTACAGGCCTGAGGTGCGCTTAGGTTTCATTTCTTTTTTACGCTCACACAGAGATGAGGTCAGAAGGGGGCGGGGGGGAAGATGTCTTGAGATTAATTAAAGGTTACTGACTCATCGCATCCAGTCCAGTGGCTGTTCAATAGCAAGGCTGGCATGGCAAGCTGCTTGGGGCATTTATTTAAGTTGAAGTCAGTTTCAAAACATGCTAAAGCTGTTAAAAGTGCTTCCCCTCACCAATACGATCGCTCTGTATTGCAGATTTTTACCTATAGCAGGTGGGTCAACGTAAAAAAAAAAAAAAAAAGTGCTTCACTGTATTTGTGATTATCCTAAACCACAAAAGGTAACAACGCCTTCCTTGTTTTTGGGTAGTCCTCAAATTTAGCAAGGTACCATCTGGAAAGAGCAAACATAAGAGATGTTCTATTAATAATGTTTGAAAGCAACGGACGGACCAAGCAGGTTTGTGTTCTTACTTGTGGTGGGCAAAAGCTCTGCTGCTAAGGACCACTGTGGTGAAGATGGCGAAGGCCGCGCTGTGAACAGATTGGCCCGCCAGAGCGAAGCCCGTCCATTCGGTTATCTCCCCAAAATAGTTGGCTGCGGATACATACTCGAACATTCCCCCTGTGTGGGAGGGAAGTGGGGGGGGGGGCATGCAAATGAGCACAACGTGTCTGGAAACATGATGGAATGAAATGCGCCACAGTAGGTGCACAGTAACTAAAAAGAGCTCATTTCAGCAAGACGAGAAGTAAGGTGCTTCATGTATTCTCCAATTCTTTTGACAAAAGAATGTCAGACATATTATTGAAGTCACAGTTTTTAAATTGTGTGTGTGTGTGTGCGTGTGTGTGTTTGGAATGCCGAAAATGCCTCCTTTAATAATAAAGAGGATTTCAAAGTAACAGATGTATGCTGGCCGTCGCGTGCCAAAGGGCATTTTACCTCTGGGGATCTTATATCCGCTCTCTCCAGGCCCCCTCAGATTCCTCAGGATGTGGTCAGAGTGCAAATTTATGAGCCAGCCACACAGCCACAGCAGAGAACCTGGAACAAACCAACCGAGAGCTCCTCTAGATAAAACACCAAAGCTAAAAGCGGACGGTCACAGAAGCTACTTTATGTCATTTTACAGGCCAACGGAATATGTGTGCGCATGGGGAGTCAATGTTGATTGATGATAATGATGACAACAAGCAAACAGACCTGCTTCATGAATCAATATGAACTGCACGTAAACAACCACAATAACATAAGATTGTAGACTGCTGTAGACTGCAAATTTCCCCAGTGTGGGACAAATAAAGTTTATCTTATCAACTGTAAAATGAATACCTTTCTGAGAGTGGCAATCATAATTTACCATTAGAATTATTTTATGTACAGCTCTTTCAATTCTGCCCTCAACCATAAATTTAGCACATACGTACCTGCGATGAAGCATGGATTCGTCACCCAGTCTGCAGGATACTCCGCATAGTGGCTCAGATATCTGATCTGCATGAAACCATTGTACGCGCAGAAAATAACAGCCAGGAAAAAGGAGAGAAATGGTGTCGGTTTTCCTTCCCGGATTAAAAATGGATAAATAAATGTTCTGGAACAGAAAAAAATGTGGTCAAAATGACAATTAGTGACACTGACACTCTACACTTAGATATGGAGCTGTAGTGGAGTATGTGCGGCATTAAGTCATTCTTGTCGAAGTAACTTGTGTATTATTTTTCACAGATGATACATAAACTCTTGGCCGCAAAATGGCCGTAAATGGCACCAAAGCACTATTTTGATAGACATGACTTCAGCACAAAAAGCGCAAATAGGTGAGTTTCTCAGTGAGTGTGGAGGCTCCTTCTAAAGATCCACAAACAAGTGAATTCACGAATGCAAACGCTTATAGGCGGGGGTCTCTGTACGTTTTCCACTTCCAGTTAAATTGAGGAGCTCACGATGCTGTGTAGAAGTGTCCAAACATCAGCGAGAATTGACTTACCTCTGAGTATAGTGGCACAAAAACATAGCAATGAGCAACTGATTGGCAAGCAGGGACGTTTTCCTCGAGGATGTCCACACTAACAGATACACGGGCACCAGGAACGCGGGCAGCTCCTGGATAAACCAGGCCAGCTTGACATTGATCAGGAATCCATATTTGCTCGAACTGTACCGTCCGTAAGCCGCGTTCACGAACAGTAGGCAAACGAACGTGCACGCTGCCATTAAAATCATGAAGTAAGCCATGCAGTCCAAAACGTACTGCTCTTCCTCCGGGGAGGAAAATAGAGCCGAAATGCTGTCCATTCTGTCGGTGTGTTTGGGAGGTGGGAAAGTAGAAAAACAAGGAAGTAAACAAAGGGAAAATGCTATGTTTATGTTGTACGAAGAGCTAAACCTAATCTACAATGCATTCATTGACACACGAGGAAGGGGTGGGTGGCTGCTATCCATTCAACCAATCAAATCGATGAACCGATACGGTTTCCTATTCGTCAGCCAATCAAATTGCGCGGTGTCGCATCGGGCGGATTTAACGCGCTGCAAGAGATTTTGCGTGACAATTACGTAACGCACAACACTGCATCAATTTCATAAAAACGCTCATGTGCAATTCTAGTAGCGTTCACCACCACGCACACAGGCTGCTGTGTGGCTGACAAACGATATTGATTGTCGATAAAGCATTGCGATTGGCAGACGAAGCCAAAAAGGTTTACGGAAACCACCCTCCACTGTCCATGCGCACACCAGCTCCTGTCTTTTAAAAGCCTATGGTAGCCGCTCGGGACAAAATAGTCACAAACTACAAAGAAAACATGAAAATAAACACAAACTGTGTGTCTTCGGCGATCTTCGGGAACAGGAGGGAGTGTGCTTAAATAAATTCGCGTGTAGATACAACCGGAGTTGCCATAAACCACAACAAGTCCACTGTGGGCCTGGTTTCGTATGTAACAACACTGACATCTGGTGGCAGACTAAAGTCAAGGAACCCGGCATAAACAAGCAAACGGATTCGAAGGAATGTAAACGTTTTGTACATTTATGCCACTATAATTAAATATTGTAGACGTAGTAATGAATAATATCAGCACGAGCAGGAGAAGTTGAATACACAAAGTAGCAAGCACATATCTTTTTTTGAACATCTTTATTCTTTTTCGCAGTATGCTCACTGAATGTTCAGATCATACCATATTTTCATTTCCCCACATTTTTTTGTTTGTTTCATGTTCATGTTTGTGTGTCATGTTGAGTTTCTCGTCGCTCATTCAAACCGTCGGTTAAGTCGAGTCAAGTCACAGTTTCCAAAGATAGGTCGCTTACGGAGCAAATGGCAAGATAACACATACGCAAACAAAAGGTAAAGAGAAAATAAATACATTTAAGAAGAAATGAGAAGGACCAGAGCGGACAAGACGAGGGCTGGTCAGCGATGTCGCATATGTGAAAAGTTGGAGACAAACATTGTAAACAAGTGAAGCAAAGAATAACATGACAAGCTATTGGACTTTTGATACAGATGGCAACACTTTCCAGGACGGAAGACATTAAACGTCAGATGTCGGATTCCCCGCGATTCCATCTGGAAAATGATTTCCTGATTACTAGGCAGCTTTTTCTTTCCAAACACAATTATCCAAAAATATATCTTTGATTATCCCTCTCAGGAGAATGTTGAAAAAGGCTTCCGGCCGCCTGTTTGTGTGCCCATTTTTCCTACCACATACTCCACATGAGGCTTTTTGTCCACTTCTCAGAAGTGAGTAGAATTGCATGTGAATCCCGGTCAATGTATCAAAACATACATAAAATTAATACCTTTTCACACAGGGGTGGGGAACCATTCAGGTTGTATGTATTTGAATCCTCAAATGAAGACATATGATGCACCCATGGAACAAAATTTTGGTGCTCTTCCTAGGTTCCCTAACCCCGTTTGCATGCAAATCACCTTTAAATCTCAATGACAGATTTTTCTAAGCGTAGGGAGGAAAAAAAAAAAAAATCAAGTCTGAGAGGAAGCAAAGGCTGCCTTCAGAGTGCCTGATTTTTTTTTTGGGGGGGGGGGGGACATTTATTGCAGTCTCGCGGGTTGGTGTTCACTTGATCAATCGACTCCCTTGACAGTGAATGGGAATCCATCAATGACAAGAGAGGGATTTTGAACGGAAACATTACAGCCTTCGATTTCAGGAGAGGAACTTTGGTAAACAAAGGTCAGTACCTGAAATTGTCCAATGGACACTATACATCTACTCTACAAATAGCCACATGAAAGTGATTTTCCGCAGCTTGAATAAACGTAGAGCAAACCCCGTTAGTAGACTAATAAGGGGGCAGAGTAGCTGGAGAGAGAAGTTCAATGCATCAAGACCACATAGAGACACATCTTAATCAGGCGCCCACAGAAAAGAAAGCCACCTCTTTTTTTTTCTAACAAATGGCAAAATAACTTAAAAAAGGTAAGGAAAATAATAGAGCAGCAATGTTTTTTGCACAGTATGTGTGCACATTCAAGTGGATAAAAGATTATATATATATATATATATATATATAAAGAAAAAAGTAATCTAGAGGTCAAAGATTGTTGGTCGGATTGGCACTTTTGTGAATAGGAGTGCAGTATTACGGAATTCATCTTCCTGTTTTTTTTTTTTTCCTTTTCAAAGACTCAATATCCAACTCCACATGATTGCGATGTAGAGGATATACAGTAAGATGTTGATGCTCAAGTAGTGATGTGCTTTCATCTCCTACAACGGGGGGGGGGGACCCGTTTTCCAGGGTGATTATTTTATTTAGGGCATGAAGTTTCCCACTCCTGTTGTACAGTATATAAATATTATTATTCTAGACATTTTTTTAAAGAGCACACATGCTCTGTGGAGAGCATGTCAACTAGAGTGCGATTGAGTGGTGCTGTTGTCAATGAAAAGACAAATCACGAGCATAGGAGAGTCGTCCTAGTCCGTCCACAGAACACACGTGCTCCGGGACTCTGGCGGGGGAAGGAAGTCAGAGTCGCGCGAGCTCTCTCTTCACACAGTGCCGCTCAGTCAAAACATCACACGATACCAACGCGACTTCTGCGCCATACAAGCCTGCATGCCGGACCACCCGCGTCAGCATTTACGCCACTCATTTAAAACCATCCAAACGTCACAGTGGCTATAAGCAATGGCTAAATGAAAAGTTTTCATATGTCCTTTTGTGTCTTGCGGTATTATCGGTGTTAAATGTTTGAAGAATTAAGTCATAATATTGCAACAACAAAAAAAGTGAGTTGAGGAGCTTCAATTACAGAAAGCATTTTGCCACTCTAAATTACAGCACAACTACCTTTTGGCCGTGGCGTCAATTGCAAAAAATATCGGACGATGGATGGATTTGGCAATTTGGGCTCGTCCATCCAGCTTCCAATTGGGGCTTATTCAGGCAGATACCCTCGTAGGGGTCATAATACAAGGCCTGAGATTCACCCCAAATGGCTGCTTCAAAACCAAATGTTCAATTTCATCGTGGGTCTTTATTCGGGTAGACACGTTGAACCAATTTCAGGTTGTGTGGTGAAAGTGGTCATGTCGGGGACCCCTAAAGTAAATTTGCACTAGGATACAGATAATTGCCCCCCCCCAAAAAAATTATTTAGCCCAAATTATATATCCCCATACATTGTGCTTCTTGTGTGAAGGAGTATTAGGGCCATTCTGAAAAGAAAAAAAAATGTATTCATTAAGTGTAGTCACAAATTATTACCCAAAAAAGTGTAACAATGGAAAAAAGTAAATCATTTTTCCCATTGAATTGATGCCCTTTTGTACAAGTGTATAAATACTTTAAGGAAAAGTTGTGTCATTTTGCATTAATTCAGCTGATATTTTGGCAAGTGAATATCAAAATTGCCAGACAATGGAAACTTTTTGTTAGCTTGCAACTAGCCAGTCATCTGTTATGTGTAGTGTCTGCAGTTGTCGTGTGCAAGTGTGTGCGTGCAAACAAATACGTTAATAATCAACGCCCCCAAAAAAGAACAAAAAACAAAACAAAAAACCCAATGGGACTAAAGTTGGAACGCTGTTCTGTTTCAGAGAAGCATCCTGGGGCTACGTAACAGCGTCGCTACACTAGAACCATGCAAATCTGTTGCAATTGATGGCACGGGCTTCAGCGCCTATAAAAAGCTATACATCCACGAGCACGATATAGTATGTGACAGAACCACTACATGAGCATGACTGCTTCCTGCTATGCGAGTGAGGCCCGAGATGGGCAGACAGCCACAAAACCAATTCGACCACATGCAGCTGAGAAGCAGAGCTCAAAATTCTCACCGTACTGTCAAAAGCCGCTCATCTAAATACCGTATACAGATGCGCATTTACTTGCAGCCACTACGACCAGATTTTTCCATGTTAGATCACCTCACAATTCAAAAGTCATCCTTATTAATAACGTCGAGCATTTTGAACATCCATTGAACCACCAGTAGGAACCCGGAATTTACTGTTGAACACATGGTTTCACCCTTTTGATATTTGCTCTTGCCCGCTAATTACAAAAAAAAAAAACCACCCACACACTGTTTGTGATTCGACTCTGAAAGGCCCTCCCACAGTGGATTAAATCAATTCCTTCCCTCAACCTCTCTGACAAGTGCTTTCCTTGAAAGAAAATTATTTGTTGGGGGGAGAACGTAAAAGGGAAACTATATTTGTTGAGATTTAATCGCGCTGTCAGGGATGTCAGGCTAACATCAAGGGGGTAGAGGGCTTTGTTCCAAAATCGGAATGAAAATGACAAAGTTTCCAAATAATCAAGAAGGCCATGGAGGGACCTCCACAGCGAGTGGCAGAAAGGCGTATTCGCCCGGTGACAGAGAACAGGGGTATGAAGTCAAGAACGCCCCCCCTCCCCACACTACTCCCCAATCCAATGGAAGAGAAAAACCTTAGCCTTATAGTTGGAAGCCCTCCATGGGCGCCTCCTGCTGAGGGAAGAGGAACTGCTGGTTGTCCTGGTCCACTTGTGGGGCCAGGCTGCTGTCCTCGTCCTCCACCCCAAAGTAGTGCTCGATCAGGTCGAAGGCCTTCTGGTAGATCTCCTGATTCTCGTGACTCTGGAGGAACTCAATCTTGTCCAGACCTAAAACAGTGGACGTTGATACGATTCTCATGCAGAATTACAGGACAGAATTTTTGCAACGGAAATGATTTTCCGAGTGTATTCGAATTTTGTCAGCGTGTTCGCGTGTGTCAATTTCTTGGCCAGTACCGTAAGCTTCTTCGATGAGGCTGCAGTACGGATTGATGCCCGTGCCATGGTTCTCCTGCTTGGCTTCCTGTTCGCCCAGCCGCAGGATGTTCTCCAGGCCGTTGAGGGCCACTTGGACGATCTTGGAGTCCATCACCGTGAGCAGATCGCACAGTGGCTTGATGCATCCCAGGTTCACCAGATATCTAAAGTGCAGACACCCAACAACGGCAGGTTGACAAGGCGGGGGGGGGGGGGGTGTAAAGACAAGTTGACAATCGATTTCGATGAGAAGGAAACGTATCCAGATTTGAAATGAGTCCGCACCTGATCTGTTCTGGCGTTCCTCCAGAGGTGGCATTGGAGATGGCCCAGGCGGCCTCTTTCCTGGTCCTGAACTCTGCTTTTTGTAGAATTTCAATCAGCACCGGGAAGATGTTCGCGTCGATAACTGTCTGTAGAGGAGAAACCACAAAAGATCAGCACTGAAGAAAGACTCGGTCCGCCGGGTGAGCACGTCCCACCTGTATCTGCGCTCGGTTTCCGGCCGTGATGTTGGAGATGGTCCAGCACGCTTCTTTGCGAATGGACTCTTTGGCACTGCTCAGTAGGTGTAGAAGACAAGGCAGGGCGGAGCAGTTCAACACCACCTGAGCACAGCAACAACAGATGAAAAACGGAACTAAATTAGCCGATTTCAAGTGTTTCCCAAACTTTGAGCCAAATTTGACATTAAAAAAAGCACACCACCAAACAAAACCACCACAAAAAGTATATGCGCGTCCGATCGAGAAATCGTGGTGCCGAGAAATCGGAAGGCTTAAAGTGTTTCACCAATAAATTGATTTCGGTCAATATGTTACTGATGCAACATTTTTTGCTCCGCAGAGATTCTGTCACTTGGCTTCTGTGCTGCAAACTGCCAGAATTTTTTTTTTTTTAGATGCAAGCAGCTGGAAGAGAGTAAGTTATCTTAAATCGAACTGATCTCAATGAGAACCGGTCAAACGTTTGAGCTAACGAAAGCTACTTCCCTGACTTTTAAACGTTTTACTCGGACTCTCACCTGCGTCTGGATGTCATCTCCTGTCACGATGTTCCCGACAGCTCTCAAGGCAGGAGAGACCACCTTGTAGTCTGTGTGCCTGCAAACGGGAGCCATTCAAACAACAGGCTTGGGATAGCACGAGTGAGGCGTGCGGCGACGCAGGTTTACATGAGCAGCTCGATGAGACGCCTGCAGACTCCGGAGTCAATTACAGCCTGGATTTTGTCGTTGGGTCCGTCGGAGAGGTAGGACAGAGCCCAGCAGGCGTCTGCCAGTAGGTCTGAGTCGCTGCTAAATAGAAGTCTGGAGAGTACCGGGAGACAGGGCGACACCTACAACCACACAGGCGGAATAGATCTGAGCTCAGGAACCATTAATTGACGACACGAGCGATTAGAACAGAGCACCAAATTCGGCACTGATGCACCCCCCCCCCCCGCAAAAAATATAATCCAGAATTTCCCCCCAGAAAGATATTCCAATTCACTGAAATCTGAGTTGCCTACTGCCATGTTTTTTTTTTTTTAAACCTATCTTGTTATTTGCCGAAAAAGCCCACATATTCACTGTTTTTGTTCTCGGGCCAAAGTCCTGCCCAATATAAAAAGGGTGAACAATGTTGAAATAAATTGAAGAGCTTTATGCAGTACTCTGCCTCCATCGTGTGGCATACTGGTGCCAAACCTCGACATGAGTTGAAGAGCTCGGCGTAGTGGTGCTCCCCTCCCCCAACCCAACCCATCTTGTTGCCTCTTGGCGCCTAGAACTAGGTTGACGTGAGCAAAGGAGCTTCATGTCGTGTTTGCCGCCATGATGTGGAATCTATACATGAATGTCGAGTCAAGTACAACTTTATTGTCAAATGTGCAACATACGGCACAGATGAAATTTCTTCCCTCTCAAGACAACATAAAACAAGAAATGAATGTCACTATCATGTTTTTGACATAACATGTAGCTAAATAAGGTAACCGCTAACCCAAACGTGACCAATCCCGGCATAAGATGCTCAACAAACTTTGTACTAATTTCATGAATATTTCTCTGAAAGCATCGCCATCTTTGGGCACGTTTTCTATTTGCCGCTCTGGTAACAGCAAGTGGACCGAGTGATTTTTATTTTGGACTGATGATAACCTTTTCAAAGGAGGGCGGAGGGTTTTTTCCTCTACAGAGATTCGACAGGGCCCACACAGCATTCCTGATCATGGTCAGTCGAGTGGACTTAGTCAGGAGCCTGCAACAGCAATGACATATATTCAAGCGCAACTCTTTATAGTATACTTGGTGCGCTCGCACAAAGATTAAGCGTCACTTTTACGTTAATAGTGGAGGAAGGATGTTGCAGTTCAACACATAGTCCCTGCACAAGGCACTGTCTCCTGCAATATTCCCCAGAGCCCACACAGCCTGGAAGATAAAAATCACACACACAAACAAACATGTACAGCAAATGTGTGTGGGGGCAAAAAAAACAACAACCACACAACACACACTTGCGTTACCTGCTCCTGCACATCCTCAAAGTCTGAATTAAGAAGCTCAATAAAGATGGGCACAGCTCCAGCTTCAATCACAGTCTTGGTCTGCATGGACGTGCCCGACGCGATGTTGGTCAGAGCCCAAGCGGCTTCGAACTGCAAAGACACGCCAAAGTGCTATTAAATGCATTCATCGGTTTGTCTTCACCGTCACCAATAGCGATTTGTGCACACTGACCTGTAGTGTGCAGTTGCTGCTCATCTTAAGGAACTCCACAAACCTCTCCACGACACCGCTTGTGCTTATAACCTCATCTATAGGCGGGTTGGGCTCTGAAATCAACACGGGGGAAAATATGCCGAAAGGCTCCGCTGGTTTCCCTCACCGTGACCTCAGACAAGTTGCACGCTACCTTTGGAGAGAAGTTTCCTGAACTTTTGCGTGGTGGCGAGTTGAAGCTCGGGGTCTTCTGAAAACAGCGTCTCGACCATATCTCTGGTGATGACTCCCTCCTGCAAATAACACACACGTCGACTGTTTGAGCCAAAGCTCATCACAGACTCCTCCACAGAGACGGTAGAATTTGCAGTGACAGGGAAAAAGTATGGGACTTGCTACTTAAGGGGCCTCTTTCTTTATTTCGCAAGCCGGAGGGGACGAAAACAAGCACCGAGGCCCAATGAAGTAGACACTCACTGTGACTGGTAAACTGAGTTGCGATTCCACAAGAGGACTCTCCAGCATGGCTTCCTCTTCAGTGAGGACGTCCACGTTCCTTCGTTTGCAGAGCTTGGAAGAAAAAGGAGACAACTCTCACCACTTCAAAACCGAAAGATGTATTTTACATAGGGCGGTTCGAGATGTGAGGTTTGGGGGGTACCTGTTGCTCTCGTTTTTGTTTCCTGAGCTGGATGCCCTCTTCCTCTCTCCTGCGGCGCATCTCCTCAGGGTTCAGAGCTTTGTTCTTGTAGCGGTTCATCCGGTAGTTGTTATCCTTCGCCGGACTGGCGGACGGCTCTGTTAGACCACAGACACAAGTTTGAACAAATTCACTTTTGGGTTATCACAGAGGTTAAGTTCACACATCAGAAATAACAGGACATCATGATGAAAGTGCTTGTAAACAGGCCTGGATATAAAAAGGCCTTCCACTAGTTGGCTGCCAGCGGACAGCACAGTCTAAAAATACACACCCAAACACACGCACACACATTCGGAACAAAAGTATGCAGAGTTAAATCGCACAGTTGGCATAAAACACTGCCTATGCAAGACAAAGTGACCATTCTGAGCACGCTGTCAGCAGTCAAATGTTGCCAACGCTGAGGTGGTGCATATTGAGTTCTTAAGGTTTAGGAACCACCCAAATCCCCTGAAAAAAAAAAAAATGTATGGCATATGCCATCAATCATATTTTGACAATTCCAAGTCAGGCACACAGAAAGGGAACAATTCAATGCTTTTCCGCTAGATGGCAGAAGTTCCGTCGTTAACCCGTATACAATATCCGCTTTTTGTGACTTAGTTGAGATTTCTTTCCACGTCAGCTACTGAATGTTTCTTGTGTTGTCATTACACGGTTTTTGCCGTAAGAATAGAATCTCGTCGTAAAACGATGACCCCTGAATCGAACTGCCAAAGTGTCGAACCGGATTGTATCACAGTGTACAGTATTTATGGCTATGCATTGTGTAATATTATAGGAAGATTTCTCTTTCAATTATTTTTGGGCTCACTCTCAACATTTCACTTTATTTTTAGGAAATGTTATTGACAGCGGCGCAAGAGTTGTCAGGATTCTTGGTGTCACATGAACACGTTGGTTTAGTACGCGCAGCTTGGCACGCCTCACGTCAAAACATCGATCGAGCAAAACGGTGACCAACAGCGCAATGTAGAACATTTAACGTGACTTGAGCGGTCTAAGGTGTACTTGCATAATCTTGAAACAACACCAAATGGTATTATTTGTGTATTATATGACGCGTTTCAGAGTCGGTCGGTCGGGAGGACTAGCACAACATCAGCTAAGCTAATGTACGCGCAAGGTGCTGCGCTCAGTCAAAACGATGACATATGAACGTATTTAGGGCAACTGCAGAACTTTTAGGTACATAGTAAAAATGAAGAAGTCACCTAAAGTGCCTCGGTTGATCTACAACGCGAAGAACGACATTTCCACACTCGGTAACCGCGACGATTCACCATAAAGCTCAGCGTAGATTTACAGAAAACTAGTGTTTCGGAACAACTTACCCATTAGGTTCTCCATGTGGTTCAGGCGTATGATGGTGTGAATTCGAACTGTTGACAACTTTGAGCGCCTTTCTTTCTGCTTATGTTCAAGAATTTGCTCCAGTAAGTTCAGCAATATGTCTGCCGGAGGCGGAGCCATTAATATGACCACTTCCTGCCACCAGAGACCCACATTCTTCAACAATTCCCTCACACGACTTCAAAATCAAGAAAAAAAGCTTTTGTATTCACAGAGATAAAACTTTTTACTTTAAAAAAAAAACCTACAAAAAGCCAAATGTCACATCCACGAGAGGGGAGGCGCAGTAATTAATTAAGTTCTGACAAAATCACGCGAGACTTACTTTCGCCTGCAAATCTCGCTCAATGCAGCAGTGACATCTGCTGGAGATTTGACAGTTAAAGTACTCAAATGCAAATGTATAGAATACAAAATAACAGTTGATTATTTAATATTCATCTGTTGCACCATCGGTAATACATTTTTCAAATAATTTAAATCATGACCCAATATAACTATATTTTGTTCAATAGGCTAGAGAAAACTATACATATGTACTGCTCTTGTTTTAGTGTTTTAGTTATTTATGTACTTATGTATGTATGTATTTATTTTTTATAGTATTTGTCCTTAACTTAAAATATTTATGTTATGATTTGATTTATTTTAATGTACAGCACTTTGTTTTGGGAAGTGGGAGGAAGACAGAGTACTTGGAGAAAATAAAGCATGCAAGGAAGAATTCAAACACTGAACCCAAAAAGTGCGAGGCAGATGTGTTAACCATGAGTCCTTCGAGCCGCCCATAATTAAATTGGATAAAATGAATCCAATTTAACGATTAGTTGATTTTTCGACTATGTAATAGAACAAACATTCAAGAGTAAATGAGGGCTTTGTTTGATCTTATTGACCGTCCACTGCAGTGAACCGGCCAACTGACACAAACATGAATCCCGTTTTGATTTCTGGCCTCTATGTGGGAAAGAAAAGCAGGTGATAGCTTGGTAAACATTATTGAAATAGATCACACGTCAGAGGGAGGACAATGACTCCCTTGGCTAAAACAAATCCCACCCTGGCCATGGCAGCGAGGTTCAAAGACTGCTGATTTGCATTGGATCTTGTTGCCAAGCGTTCCTCTTTCGGAGTACGTCTGTGTTTTTATGGTGGAATGTTGTTTGGACTGGCGCGCTGAGGAGACACTGCAAAAACAACCAGGACGAACTGCACAAGTGTTTTGGGCTTTTTGTTTGTGTTGTGTGGTGTGATGCCACAACAAAAGAGTGCGGGTGATGGTGAAAGGAGAAAAAACTGGAATGATAACATAGAACCGAATATTAGTGCTGCTCAGTATAATATGAGCGTTATATGAAATATTCCGTACACAAATGAGGACTACTGAGCAGATGCTCGTGTGAATGCACACTTATTCATTGCAGAAATGCCTCTGTAGCATCTCGTATATGCACATTGAACGTCAACCTGACATATGATCTCATGTAATCCCCCGCTGAAAAAATTCCGCTCCCCACTGTGTTTTCAACAAATCAAACAGAAAAACGTAGCATTGCACACGTGTGGTTTAATTTGCCCGGAGCGGCTGCTTCTAAGTTGATGTACTTTATTACCGGGCAGCATTCCCCTCCATCACATGGCGTTTGATGGAATAGACAAAAGGGGGCAATGTTGCACAAATGAAACCGCAGCAGGCAGGCTGTTCCAAGAGAAAGGGCGCGGGAGGTCAAGTGATCAACAATACAAGGTGAGTGAGATCCTATCCCATGATTGCCATTCCTTGAAAGCAAACACTGCGCCCAGATCCAAGCTGTGGCTTTCGGGATGAGCTTCATGCCACTTGAGCCACCGGCGTGGATGGCGCAAAGGCTGCACCCGGCAACGTTGGCACAGATGGAGCGCTTTGCCACTTCTTCCCATTTTTCTCATTTCAAGGCTGGCCGAGGCACATCATACACGGGCCCAGCCGCAAAGGTTACACATTAATCAACGCCGCTGCTTGTGGGACGGAGTCATAAGAGCGAAGACAAGAAGCCTCACTGAGAGCTTTCAGACGGAGTGCGTACGTGCACCGGGCTCTTCCGATGTACTCTCCGCACTCACCGTTAGCCCCCGAATATTCCCCAGGTCCTCATTCAAATGTAAACAATCAGTCATTACGGAAGCGAGACGACGATCACTCAGTGGAACAGATGAACGTGACGACGACTGTTTTCGCACCGCCTGCAACTATGTTTCATACTACCGACCTAAACATACCGTACACACCATTAGGTCGACTTACACAGTATTGCGGAATCCAATTGAGTCAACCCTGAGGATATCGCCGTTCTTTTTTCACAGCCCCGCTCCATCGCAGGTTATTTTTCTCACTGCACAAATAAAAAATAGTTATCGGTACATAAATAAATAAGAAGTATAAACTTTATTCTAAATTATGTGTGGCAGACTTTCACAGGTGGATCTCGAAACCACCACCTGCGATAGACGAGGATTCAATGCACTGTACTGCAAACAAAACTGTGCTCTGAATTCTCACGTGGTCAGAGAAGTCTTCAAGTGCTTCAAGGTGTATCAGTCAAAGAAGACGACTGACTTGAAGACTTTGTGAGCTTGTGGAAGCGGAACCTGAAGGCAGGTTTGAAACTGAAGATTTGCTTCTAAACGATCACAAGGAGCTGTCTTGGGAATATTGTAGCAGTGCATTTTTGTAATTTCTCTTTTGTAAACCCAAAGCCATCGAAATGGGTGATCCAAGTGCACATGTACATAAGCCGTCGTGTTGCCCGTCTTCCGTCAGAGGACAAAAAAACCCTGCCGACTAATTAATAAGTGTACACCTTGTAACCATGGCTGGGAGGTTGTCCGCTCATTTTGTCTTCCATACCGCCGAGATAATTGGTAGACATAAGCACCCTTCCTGTCCACCTCATTAGCGTTAAGTTCGGGCTGGGCTGAGTCAGCAAAATTGAGAGGACCAACTTGCACATTTTAAGTGGATTCAAAAACAAACACATTTTGCAGATAAAAAAAAGATGCAGATGAGTGTACAATATCATAGCGATGGGCCTTTGAATACATTTCCTCGACTGACTATGGGGAATTATTTTTATTCACACATTTAATAATTATTTATGTATTTTTTTTTTAATGAATGTTGAAGTCCTCATGCGTCACCGTCAGGGTATTGACTAATTATCTGAGCTCCGAGACTGTATTATTCACCCGTGGGCGTGTGACTTCACTGCCATTTATCATCTTCCCAAAACAACCGCAACGACGGAAGCACATAAAAAGTCCTCTCGAGTGAATTCAAGAATAAAGTGGCTCCTTTGACGGCCATGACTTGGGGCTGGTTCAAGACTTCTGGAGCCCCTCCGGGGTAGTTTGACCCCCCTGTGAGGAGTCAAGGGTCAATTGACAATTTCTGCCAGTCTGTCTGCCTGAAAGCCACGTCTCCAGTCGAGTACGGAACTACATTCTCCCGGCATCGCACGCATTGAGTCAGTTGGGGAGTACAAATTTCATAAGGAATCATCAAAATCTGCTTAGTCTTGATTGCGCTTGTTTGTGCTCGTTTGCTGCGTTTAAACGGCACCTTAATTCAATTACGTGCAATATGATAAGGCTAATTTGCGCATAAAAATGAAGTTCTTCCATAGTGGCTGAACGCTCGAGGACAGCAGGCGAATGAAAACTACCAATCACCTAATCACGCCAATAACACAAAGGATATCTTCATTAACACTTAGGGACCACCTCCTCTCCAAAAGCAACAGGCCTGTCAATCACTTTAATATCGCATTGTACACCGAAACCCTCGGTGAATGATTTGTACTATGAGGAAATGGACCCACATTTTGGAGGAAAACAAGGAGGACGGAAACGTGCGAGCATTCTTGATCTTTGGGGTATTTTGTTGAATCTATGTGTTCAACCTTTTATGAAGACAACTGTGTAATTGTTTCAAAATGTAAAATCCCAATTTTAAACTATCCACTTTCTTTCGGGACCGCTTTGGGTGTTTGGGAGCCCACCGGGTTCGCACAGAGCACACTATGGAAAACTCGGCTCTCGGGGGTAATATTGAGAGAGTGATAACACACCACGGGGAAAGCGGAGCGAGGCGGTGTGTCAGTACATGCGGTGCACAAATAGGCGAAAAAAGGAGATATGTCTTCATAACGTGTTCAAAATTCATTCGCCGCTGTCTTTGACTTCCTTTTTTTTTTTTAATCTGATGAACAGCGCCGCGGCCCGCTCTCGTCGTCTCGCTGTCTGCTCGCTTGGCTTTGCGACATCGACCAGGTGGAGGAGCAGATAAGTCAGGATGCTGACGAGGCGATTTTTGGAATATTCCCGAGGATCATTCCATCATTCCTCTTGTGCGGCGGAGATTTGCGCGAGCCGCGTGAATACCAATTGAGTAATTCTCACCTGAAAGGATACTAGACGCAGAGGGAGACAAGTCTATCGCCAAAGTGCAAAAGCAGCACAAGTGAAAATATAAATACAGACACGCGTAATACCATATCAACCCGACAGAGCTGGGCATAGATCTTCTTTTAATTCATTTGATGGGGCTATCTGGGTTTTATGGCGCTACGCTTCACTCGCATTACATGAGCATCTTGGCTGTCAACAGGCAAAAAGTTGGTCAAATATTGTGGAAATATTTCTCCCAAGATTTCAGTGAATGAGATTCACTTACCGGCCATGGAGCCGTAACATCAGGTTACTTGCGCGAGCTAACGACAGCCAAAAGCTATTCAAGGTGCGGTAAATTTGCAAAATAAAAGTTTGCTTTGACAAAGACTCGGACTTGCCCTCGGACTGTTGCGCGCTTCCTGACAAGGAAAGGCAGCGTATTAGAACGGATGGAAAAACCTGCAGGATTTTTGCTGACGCTCATCCGTTAATTAGGTTTTCGCAAGCGATTGTAAATATGTCCGAGACGTCGCACTCACGTTTAGCGTGCAAATGAAAGCAGACTGTTGTGCGAGTAATAGGCTGGAGGTTTCACGTCGTGAATGTTCGGAGCAAAGAAGAAGAAATCTTTTCAGATAGCGCTCACGTGTAATTAATGGGCGAAGCTTTTTGATGTGTCTGAATTGTTATCAGCAG